CATTTATCTATGTCAGTCAACAGAAAGCTTACAGTACGATGGTTCCTGTAAATACCTTTAGTTATGCCAGTCAACAGAAGGCTTACAGTACGATGGTTCCTGTAAATACCTTTATTTATGCCAGTCTACAGAAGGCTTACAGTACGATGGTTCCTGTAAATACCTTTAGCTATGCCAGTCAACAGAAGGCTTACAGAACGATGCGCTGGTTCCTGTAAATACCTTTAGTTATGCCAGTTGATACGGAGCCACCTTCCCATTGATCTGATATCGATTTAGCACGTGCTCCACAGACGACTGGGTGAAACCTACGGTGACTACTGTCCAACCAAACATGCGGATCAATTTACCCCCACCCTTCACGTAGTTATCCGTCTTTTCAACTAACGTAAAAAAAAAAATCAGACACGTATATTTTTTCCGTTTCTAAATTGAAGTGATTTGTTTTATACACAACCGTGTCGAGAAACGTTGATCAGAAAACACGTGTTACACTTATGCTGTTTTCCATGAGCGCCACAGGAAACGGTTTGTTGGCTGAAACGGTGTTTGTGTAATTTGTAGACACGTTTTTATATCCGTGATTTTTTTTCCTTTTCGAGTGCAGATGAATAGAAAACCATTATCATACATTGCAATTAGAAAAACTAATGTTAACTGGTCTTATTTTTAAAGATATTTATGTTAAATACATTACAGTTTATCTTTATATAAATGGAAAATTATCAAATTTTGTGTAGGGTTACTTTATTTCAATAACGATACGATGGGAATATTGATTGTTTTTTGTTAAATAAGATTGAAAATGCTATTTACAGACAAATATAATTATAATTCTTTCCGCTTAATTCATTTTATTTCTATGCCTAGTCTTTATCTCAACATTTCGTTTATTCTCACATCATTTTCAAATGGTCGCGGGCCCTAATATAGCGAGATATTTTTAAAATAATTTTTCCAATCCAGATTTTTTGATTATATGAACCAAAAACCTTGTTCACTTACTGTTCCGCCCATTATCCGGCGCAGACGATGAAACGAATGTATCGACATAAAATCTAAAACATGTTATGCGTATCATTTTCATTAAGGGTCAAAAATTTCCAGACACAAATTACGTTTTCCATAACACAATATTTATTTTTCCATCAAATGTATTTTAGCACAAATGTGAGTTATCTTATACATTTTTTCTAGTTATATTGACAAAACAAAAAATATAAACAAATACAAACACGTAATATTATTTCCTATCTATTGATTTACAGCTTTCCTCGCTAATATTCACAAGCAGATGAACGTGTCTAACTGTTTACTTTAGCGTTTCGTGGGTTTTTTCCGGTAGTTTTTTTTTTTTTTACAGGATAAAATTATTATGGTGAGCTTTTCCTTGCTCAAGTAATGATGCAATCAAGGAAATTACATTTATAAATTAATCAATACAGAAAGCTCTTTATCAACTGGCCGTAGTGGGAGGGGTGGCCGCGGTAAGGGTGTTCTATGTGGGGGTGGGAGGGGTGTTCTATGTAGGCCTACATGATAAGCTCGAGATAAACTTCTTTTCTAATTCACGTAATTAACCGGTACACTAAAGATAAAATGCCTATGCTCAGACATTTAGACATGCACAATATACGATATATATAGATACTATATATATATATATATATATATATATATATATATATATATATATATATATATATATATATATATATATATATATATATATATATATATATATATATATATATATACATATATATATATATATATATATATATATATATATATATATATATATATATATATATATATATATATATATATAGTGGATCTTAACCTGGGTTCAATCAAACACCATGAGTTCGGTGAGTCAGTCTCAGGGGTTCGACGAAGGTCAAGACACACACCCGACTTATATGATTCACGATCAGACTTTGTCAGGACGGACGATAGTACTAATAAGATGGGTTATGTGAATGCGGATATTAAACGGGTGGGGTTCGGTACCTCCATGAAGGAGTTAAGAGCCAATGCTGTAATAGCTGTACAAGAAATGCAAATAATAATTGACAGGGAGCTTCAGATTCTGACTAGAGCGAGATGACAATCTTCATATGGAAGAAATATGTGAAACCTACTCCTAGCCAATTGAGGTTATGACATAAATCGTTGAGATAATTGCCTCCTTTTGTATTGTATAATACATTTTTTTTTTTGGGGGGGGGGGGGAATTTTCATACCAGTGTCCGATAATAGAATCTTCTTTCGAAAGGGTTGTTAGGTTACTGATAGTTAAATGAAATACGCAAGCCTTGCTAATATCAATTCTAACGCTAACGCTGACCACAACCCTAACCCTAGTTTTACCATACGCCTAACTCTAATTTCTAACCATAAAACTAGTCGAGATTACAATACTCCTAACAACCTAACACACCTATTTTTGGACGAGTCTATTATCGGACCGGTATCCTCAATCATCCTAAATGTGTATCTAATGCATTAATTATCAAAGAAAAACTAGAGAGGGGGGAAAAAATGAGTAGAGAAAAAGATATGGAGAAATCAGCACGAGCTAAAGGTTAATTCCCGGGCACCAGAAAACCTTTCTACGCCACTGCTTATGACTTATGACACATGCAACTGCGTAGAAACGTCACGTGATCAAGGCTGATACACGCACGAGTTGATGCTGTTGGGTGCTAGGATCACTGTTCCAAACTAACAAGCTCTTTGTAGCCATAGTGTTAGGTATCACCATCTCAAAATTACTACTCCGTAGTTAGAAGCAGGAAAGTAAATTTCAAATTCTAAACCCGTAGTTTAAAGCAGGTTACCAAACCTCAAATTTTAAATTCATTTTGGTAGAAGTAAAAAACCTGAATCCCTGATTATAAATCTTTTCTAGAAGTATCATCCTAATGTAAGACCCCGAAGAAAATATTTAAAGCTATTCGTTGTTTTGGTCTAGGCCTCACGGATATTAAATATCGAAACTAATTCTGTGTCGAACATAAGCTACTCCGTTATCATGCTGACTATATACGTTACAAAGTACAAATTACACTTCGTTATGTCCAATTTAAATGTATAGTGGGTAATTTCCTTTCGTTGTGCGTCATAATCGATTTTTTTCGAGCATCGCTAAAATTACCCTAGCCTATCAAGACATCAAGTATAGTATCGATAATTACTATACTAGATATTCGATTACATGTGTAAGTCCGCAGTAAAAGTACCAAAACAAATTACGATCGATTGATTATGTAATTATGTTACATCTGTAAGTCCGCAGTAAAAGTACCAAAATGAATTACGATTGATTATGTAATTATGTTTTTGTTTAATTAAAGGCCCATGACGTAATGAAAAAAGCTCGTGGTCCCCATGACAACGCACCAGACGACCACGAGCATGTCACCGGGGACATGCTGTCTCCTGCTCTATCGGGACACAACCCTCCCTATGTGAGCAACAGTACGGGGTGAGTACCAAACGTCTGTCCACTTACGTTTTGTGTGCATGTTTTTAATTCAGGACTTTAGGACCTACATTCTGTGTGCATGTTTTATACAGGACATTAGGACCTACATTTTGTGTGCATGCTTTATACAGGACTTAAGGAACCATCTTTTTGTGTGTGTGTGTTTTTTTATTCAGGACATTAGGACCTACATTTTGTGTGCACGTTTTTAATTCACGACATTAGGACCTACATTTTGTGTGCACGTTTTTAATACAGGACATTAGTACCTACATTTTGTGTGTACGTTTTTAATTCAGGACAATAGGACCTACATGTTGTGTGCACGTTTTATACAAGACTTAAGGAACCATCTTTTTGTGTGTGTGTTTTTTAATTCAGGACATATAGGACCTACATTTGTGTGTTTTGTTATTTTTAATTCAGGACAAATAGGACCTACATTTGTGTGTTTGGTTTTTTAAAATACAGGACAATAAGGACCTACATTTGTGTGCACGATTTTTTTAAAATTCAGGACATTTGAACCTACATTTATGTGGGTTTTTTTTAATTCAGGACATTAGGACTTACATTTCTGTGCACGATTCTCTGTGCTTGTTGGCTTCACTAGTTCAGGAAAATTCTATCTTTAGAGATCTATTTTATTTATCGAGATCTAGATCAGATTTTTTTTTTTCAGGCAGTGCCCAAACTCCACCACATCACATTCCCTTTTCCTCCTCCCCTCCCTCCCCCGAGCGCGTCTATCGCCTTGGCAGACGAAATACAAAAAATATTTCATTATATACATTTTTCGAAAATAAATAATCAACCCCCCCCCCCCCACCCCCCAACGAAAAAACGAAAAATATCTGAAAATAACAACATCAATTATTATTTTTAATAGATTTTTCTACTTTTTTGGTGCGTGTTTCTTATATTTTAAAGTATTCTGCTCATATAGTTTGACTTGTACGTGTTTCTTTTAACAAAACAAAAATGGGATCATATTAAATTTTGTTCTATTTTTGTAAAAAAAAATTTCGCGACTTTGTTGTTCTGTTGTTGTTTTTTTTTACCAAAATTGAAAAAGAAATACCTTCCGGACACTGGTTGAGGTAAAGTTCACGTGTTTCAGTCAATTAATCTGTACGATGATCTGGTCGGTCGTTAGAATGCACATCAACTCATATTTTACCACAGTTAAATTTGATTTATTGAAGCTACACAGACATTGATACTTTCGAATAGCTGTACTGCTCGACCACACAGCTCCGTTTTATATTAACTCTATAAGACAATAGTAGACTCATGTATTATATTCTAATTTATACAGTGTAAACTTGAGAATGGTATTTGGCTCAAATGTTTTTAAAATTAAATCGTCAATAGAAGTATAAGGAGCTGATGTATCCAAAATCTCATTTCTTAGTTTTTATAATAACTACATGAGTTTTAATTTGATAACAAGAAATTTAAAAGTACCTTAAAGTAAGTTAAATTATGCGGTTTATGTATGCATAATTGCACACATCAATGTACTGCCCCCAATGTTTGCTCACATCTGTGTATTGCCCCCAATACCTGCTCACACCTGTTCTCTCTACTCCCCAGAACGGTGATCCTCTCCATCAATGGCACGCCCACGCTCCCCCTGGAGCTCAACATAACCGTCGACTCCGGCACCAGCGCAGACAACAGCAGCGTCTCCAACCTTGACCTTGAGCGTGAGTTCTACCGCTCCTACGACCCGGCCATCGGCCTGCACACGGCTGCCGTGCTGGGCGGCATCCTGGTCTGGTTGGTCCTCTACGTCATCTACCGGACCAAGATCCGGAAGTGCGTCATCAGACTGGTGAAAAAGAAACTACTGGTCGAGGAAGACGAGATTAGTAGCAAAAAACTCTCCGACTCCGAGGATAAGGATTCTTCAAGCGGAACAAACCCTAATATGGTTCGACCGTTTATAAACCCTAGTATTATAATCGAGACTACCCCTCCTGAAAGTTTAGCCCAGACGCCGAATGTTTACAACAACACATCCGGCCCGTGTGATTGCATAGGCCCGTACTCTATTCAAAGCGGCTGCGGCAACGACGACGGGACAGTTTTCCAGTTCCCTTACACGGGCGGCCCGCAGGCCAAACTCCACATCTACCACCAACAGTTCTGTCAGGAACAGCAACATGCGTGCACGCAACACGACAACTACTTCCATCAACTGCCAAAATCAGAAATGGATATCCCAACAGCTACAGCGCAGTGGGTTCAGAACATGCCACTTGCCGCAAGAAGTCACCAGGACTTCGCTGGGCTTATGCTTGCCATGCAAAGCCGGGGGCTTCTTGCCATGAACAAGCCCTGCAGCTGCCCTTTAGTATGCCCAAGATCCCCCCAGCCCCTGCCTCTGCTTGACCTCCCCAACACCTGGAACAAAAGCCTGCCCGTCTTGTCTAACTCGCTGTCCAGCCAACTTCTAAGTGCCTACGAGACTGCCACAGGCAGCTACAACAAACACAAAGACATCAAAGACATCATCAACGCCAAACGTAAACTAAACAAGAACAAACAAGAGAAGCAAAACGCCCGGGATTACATAGAGTATACGAAACTAGAAGAAAAATACTCCCCGGAAAAATCAGACTCCAATGTTGGCGAAGCTCAGTCCGGGTTTAGAAATAAAACGAGTAAAAGGTTGAACAAAACACCGCCGAATTTAACGATAAGAATTCCCGACGCCACGGAAAGCTCGGCGTTGTTAAGCGGGACGGATCCTAACAGATCCGCAGTCCCGATCCCCGTGACCCCAACTGTCATGATCCAAAACCCCAACTGTCGACGCCATACCGGCTGTGACAGCAACACTTCCGTTAGTTCCAGTTCTTCGTTGGATTTGAACCCGAGTCAGCGGCATATGACCATACCCAACTACCGGAACATACCCTCGCCGCATCTTCTCTCCCCCGCGTGTGAGAACCGCCGAAAGGGAAGTAACTGTCATTTTTCTTGGAGCCGTGAGGACGTCAACAGATACCGTAGCAGGCACGAGCTCCAGAGGTCAGGGTCAGCCAGCCCGCATTCTCATCTGAGAGATCACAGGCACCAATGCTCTTTTAGTAATTCCGGTCACTCGGACCCAAAGAGCGAATGCTCGAACAAGCGCCACAACAGCTGGACAGGCAGCGACAGCGTGGCCTACGCCGGGGTACAAAACGCCCCGCGCAACACTGCCTGCAAACACCAGAACGCGGAGAACGCCAAGCACCACAAACGGACGTTAAGCGACTACAACCGGTACTACGCCGACCTGATGACCCCCAGCTCCCCATCCCCGACGAACAAACACCGACGAAGTTTGTCAGCCGACGTGGCTTACATGTTAAACCTCCAGCGTGAAGTCTGCAGCCCGACGTATTCCAACGGGAGCAACAAAAACTCTCTGGGCACGTCCTCCTACTCTCATTCCCCCTCCCCGCATTTACTCCAGGTGCCCGATTACAACAATCTCCTGCGGCCGATCACACCGGAAGTCGTCATCACCAACAACAACTGCCAGAGCCCCGTCGACGCCAACGGAAGTCAGAACGCCGTCCGACACTGCGTTCATTCGGATAGCAACATCGCCTATTTCGGCGGGTTGATGTGTCCGGGGTTTCAATCCGTCGAGAACCCGATCGTCCGGCGCCACAGCACGTACGTCCCGACCACCGGGGACCTGACCCTCTCCTGCTGCGCCGAGAACTCCGTGCGGGCCACGTCCTCGTTCGGCTCAGGAAACTCCTACAGCTCCTCGCAGTACCCGCACCAGCACGGCGCGAATCCCCACTCGTCCCACCCGTACCGCCATGAGCCCCACCAACCCCACCACCACCACCACCACCACCACAGCACGGGGACGCTGCCCAACGACGCCCAGAACCGCAGCTACAACGCCCAGTGTCTGCGACACGCCCCGGCCAACTTGAACCGTTCCTACTCGGCCGTTGTCATGGAGACCAAATTATGATTAGAGACGCTGACCTCGAACTTTCAGTATTTGAGTTGTTCATTGCGTACCGTGGAGGATTCGCCATTAGAAGATGTAGGCACCCACTTACGAGCCTTTGTCATTCTTAAATTATTATATGTATTTATTGCTGGAGTAAGAACGACCTATTACATTTTTTGGCATGTTTTGTTAAATCACGTGATCATCGTTGAGGGGTCACCCCGACTGTACCTGGACCTCGAACTAGCTTAATCCTGTATAGATTTTTAAATATTCAGAGGTCAAGCAATCGATGAAGTGCCTTTTTGTGGGTTGTGATCTAGCTTGTGCAGTTGGCTTGTTAGTTGTTTTTTTTTTTGCCATGTGTTTTAGATGGAATTCGGAACGGAACAATGATCGCTGTAGAAAAGCAAAGAGTAGCAGTTGATTGGTCTTTGCTTTTGTGTGTTTTCTAATCGTAATGTCACAAAGATCTACATCGGAAAATAAAGCGTGAGTTATTGTGCAAGTCGTGAAAAAAGTTCAGTATGATAAATGAATCTTAACAAGCCATAAATAAAACAGTGCTTTTGGAAAATTTAATAATGCATTTATCACTACGTGTTATGTAACCTATCAAAAAATTACATGTAATGTGTAAGCCAGTGTATAATATACAATCTGTCTCAAACTGTGTTTATTTAGTTAGACTACTTTGTGAAATTGAAATGTAACTTTCAGTTCGAAAGTGATTAACAGCGTAAATTTGTTTTCCTGTAAAATAATTGTTATACGTTATTTATTCTCTAACTTTGTGTATTGTATAATATTGTTACGGATTCAAGCTCGTTATTTGTTTACTTTAGTACACCTCTACCGGTAAACTGTTGCTGTGGTCTTTAGAACACTTTAGATGAGTGAGCCAATTCATGCAAACAAAATGGGTCTTTTACAGTTGTTTACAATGGAAAATGTTGATATAAGCCCCTCCCTCCTTCCCCATTTGGGCGAATCCTCCTGTTGTATATAACCAGAGTTTCTTTCGGGCATCTCTTCAGTTAGGGGGAGGTATTGCCCCCCCTCCCTCAGTAGCACGTTTACTGCCTCCACCCCCACCCCACCCCTCGATGAAATAGAAAAAATATAACATATAGAAAATATATACGCCTACTGTTCCCTGTGTCCGCCCCCCCCCCCCCTTCCCGAAAGTAGGCTCTCCCAAAGTTTCAAGTGCCCCTCCCCTTCCCGGAGAAAAATATCTGAAAGAAACACCCAATATATAGGCCCTACCTTAAAGTAGCATAGCCCGTGAAGAACCGCCTCCCCCTAGTTACGCCATTTGTTAACTGTGTGCCAATTTCTCATGAATTGTGATAAGGCCTCCACTGTAGTGTTTTGTTAGATAGGAACCAAATGTTTGAATGTAAGAACTCCACGAGTACCCAAGTGATGGTTAGTCTTAGTCAGTAGTAACTTAGTGTCAGTTCTGGTAACTGTAGGAAATTGCCTTCTTTCCACACTCAAGAAAAAGTTAAGATTTGTATCATGTCGTACACAAATAACGTTTTCAACTATTTTAATTTTATTGAGGTAAAAACCAATTTCGATAAACTTATAATCATCATTTAATAATTTGTTTTGTATTATAAAAAGAATTAATACATTATGATTTATCAGCGGTAATATTAATAAAATAAAACTTATACAGAGACACTTTTTTCTCTAGTCGATTGGACACTCATGTTCACATACATCCCCCACCCCCACATCCCTCCACCCCAAAATCAACATGGAACCTAATATAAATAACGCCGTTTTAAAAAATATTGGGTATTATTATGAGCTAATTTATTATTGTGATGTTTTAGATGTTGGATAATAAAATGATAGGTCGTTATGATAAAACTAAATCTAACACAGCGAAATAATTTTGTCACATAGGCCTACTTCATTGACCTATATCAGGCTCATTGTTCGGCTAGTTTTCGATGTTTTCTTTAACAATACACCTGTTGTCCTTTCGTGACGGTTTGTGTCAAAGCAGCTGTGGATAAGTTAACGATTAAATAATTTCAAGATGCCAGTTACTACATCAGATAATAGAATTACTTAAGGCATGGCCCAGACCGATGACATGGATCAAATTAGAACTTGATTATGATCATACATGTTGACATGGATAAGAACATGTTTTTGGATACTTAGTCTTCTGAGTAAGGGGGTCGTCCATAAATTACGTCACACTCGTAGGGGGAGGGGGTCCGTAATTTTTTGAATGTGTGATGAGGGTGAGGGGGAAGATTCAGACGATGTGACGTCACACTTTCGCACTGTAAAAAAAGCAATGTTAGAAAACTAATTTCAGCCGTTATTTCGCGTTATAGTAAACTTTTTAATAGGAATTGATTAAAATACTCTATGTTGACAAGATTTTGGAAAAGTATCGAATTTTAAGAAAAATTCAACTGAAACTTTGAGTGGGGGAGGGGTTGTAGGCTGAGGTGTGCCGTCATTTTAGGGGGGGGGGGGGTGGTCTGACTTTTTGTGACAATGTGTGGGGGAGGTAAAAATCGTACCAAAAAGCGTGACGTCATTTATGGATGACCCTCCTTAACCGTAAACGTCAACAAAAAAATTAAAACTAAAGCTAAACTAAAACCAATGAAGAAATTTTATAAATATTTTTAAAATGCAGAACATTTAAGACCACTTTTCTTTTTAGACTTACAAAAACCTTTGATCAGGACCGCCATTATTTTTATGCTAAATGCTCCCGTGTCTACCACTAAGTAATTAGTTCCGTTGGCATTTGAATGAGCTCGTAGACACATCCTGCTTTCTAATGGTGTAATAACCTACAATTTTTGAAAATTAAAAACTACAAGAATTTTCGGTAATTCTATGTAATTGCTTGTATTGAATTTTATCATGCCCTAGTTAAGCCTTGTTTGTTTACATGCTTTTAGGCGACAAAAAAATTGTTTTGGCTTTTTTTTTTTCAATTTTCTTCTTCCCGAAAATACCAATAACTGGCAACAACACTGAGTGATTTATGAGCAGACAACAAACGCAGGCTTCGTTATTACTAGTTAGTAGTGAACGAGTTTGATTTAAAGTAAAGATCTTTAACAAAATATGAGGTAGTCCACAAACGACGTACCTACAAGGGAGGAGGGGTTCAATCAAACTTTCGTGACGATGTGTGACGAAGGGGCGGTTGGGAGGGAGGTTCAGAAACAGTGTTTCTTCCAGCCTTTTTTCTCCGGCGGGGGGGGGGGGGGGGAGGGGGCACTTGAAATTATCGGGGGGGGGGGGTAGACTTTCTTTTAGGGGGCGGACCCTGTTAAAAGTATATATTTTCTATATAAATTATATAAATTTCATTTCGTTCGGGGGGGGGGGGGGGGGGCGGTAGAATTTTTTCGGGGTGGGGTGGGCTTTGCCCCCCCCCCCCCCCCGAAGAGATAAGAGATGCTGGAAGAAACTCTGTTCAGAAATGGTGTCCGTTATAATTAAATATAAAGAGAGCTATGTAGTTATGTAGAATGAAATGGCAGAAATGGCTTGTAAGGTGGGTAAAGGACTTTTTATTTAGTGGAGGGGTCTGGTTTTTTGTGACTAGTGTTTTTACTTTGTTTTCTTTTCTTTTGACGGATTAAAAGGTTAAACCCTAAAACAGTCAAATTAAAAGAATGTATAGGCTAATCTCTATGCTCTATGCCAACATCTACGTCTCTCTCTCACAGGCACACACATCCATCCTTTCCCACAATCTATTTCAAAATAAAAACCTTTTTTTGAAAGCATCTATTATGATTATATCGGTTTCCTCAATCATCCAAATTTTCTACTCCTAGCATCTGTGATATCAACTTTCATAATCATACTGTTGTAGGCCTATACTAGTATACTACCAGGCCTATCATTAGGGATTAGATCCATCTACTTAGTATTTAGATCCTAGGTTCTAGAATCTAAGTTGATATCATTTTGTTGACATCCAACAATTCAGGCCAGCAGTCATTTAACTTAACTATCTCTACTGAAATTATGTTGCTTTCTAGCCTTTATTTGTGTTCTTGTGATGATAAATATTGTGATAGCAAATTAGCTCGGTTTTCTAATATTAGTAATATATACTATATACAGATAGATCTAATATATTTTTAAAAATTGCGTAATTACTTTTTTTTATTCTGAAACAGCCAATTTAGTCTTCAGTGACTATTTGACTATTTACTATTGTATTAGAATGTTTCTTCCATGGATAAAGTCTTCACTAAAATTCTTTGTATCAGCATTTCTAAGATTTTCTATATTTACAGAGTAATTTCAAGTAGCCTACTTAATCAATTTGCCAAACTGGTTTTGGTCTATATTTTGTATCGATTATGACCATTTGCATTACTAGACACAAAGTGCTCAGACTGAGGGTATATATATATATATATATATATATATATATATATATATATATATATATATATATATATATATATATATATATATATATATATATATATATATATATATATATATATATATATATATATATATATATATATATTATGGTGTCACCCCCTCCCATTGGGTATAATCCTGTGCATCCATTTATTTTTCAATTAAATAAGTTATGTTCAATTGATTTAGCAGATTTTTCACTGCCATTTTTTTTTTGGAGACATAATTCTCCCCCCCCCCCCCCCCCCCCCAGTCAGATGGTGTCACCTTGAACTGTGCACAGATACTGCCCCGCCCACCTTCTGCTGCTACTGACCATAGTCCATTACCTTGTTTGAAACAAAGTTTAAAGATCAATTTGGTAAGCCAGTTATTTCAATAATGTAATGGGATTTTAAAAAAGTCCTTAGCTATTTATTAGAGTTAAATGCCTAATAAAACAAACAGTTGTTCTACATGTTTTAAGGAATAAAGTTATTTCTGTTAATGTTGGTTGATATATTGTATGTTCTTTCAATAAGAAACTTAAACTGCACTTCAATGTATCAAACCCAAAATCTTCTTGTAAGAAATATGATTGCAGATAAGTTGTGAGCCCTAATATATAATCTGATATTGGTTGTCACATTGGAAAGGATTTTTTTTAATGATTTATCTTTAACACTTATTTACAGTATTTTTTTTTTGAGATTGTAGGTATCAAGGTGTTTTTTTTTGTAATCATTAATTTAAGCAGAAAAATATTTGGTTTAACTGGCATAAAACACAAGTTTGGGATTAAAGAGAACTCTTCTATGTTGTAAGTTCACATGTATTGCATCTTGAATCAAGCAGTTCTCTTGTATATTTGTAGTAGATGGGATAGAATTTTGTTACTTTTCCTGTGTGATTTTATTGTATTACTTCTTATACATTGTATATTTGAACATTGTGATAAATGTATATCACAACAACATAGACAAAATGGTTTGAATTTTAACGATGAATTGTTTAATTCTAAAAGGTTACCGAATTAAAGTGGCTACGTAACATAAGCATTTTCATACTTGAAGAAAGACATTTGTTTATTTATTTCTTACATGTTTATAAAAGATGAGTCAATAAGTGAATCAAAACTTATTTCTTTAAGTAAATAAATTTTAATTTGTTAAATATTGATCAAGTGTAAAAGATTAAATTATTATTTATATAAGTAATGGTCTGGCTGAAATGTCTTTAATAACGAGGTCTTGGGTTTTAATTGATTCCATGTATTTTCTGTGTCTGGATTGCTGATTGGTTCCTGGTGAAAACAGTGTTAACTAGGCAAAAACACAATACCTTTATCGGACAAGGTCATTGTAATATGTTATGAGATCGAGCTCTGCTTATTTCACCCTAATCACTGTCTGTGCTGAATCACAATCAATACATGATTTGGCCTCCAGCAGAGAGGAAGTAGAGTTCATCTGTTACTTTGACATATGAAGTGATTGTAAGCTCTTTGGATCAATAAACCTGGAAATGTTTACATTTTTTTAACATAATTTTAGCCTTCAAGGGTTAAAAAAAAACTTACATTACTTTTGTATATAATTGTATTCACTAAATGACATACCAGGACCTTCTGTGTCCTTGAACTTGTTTCCCACAGAGTTCATCTTTTCCAACTGAACATGCATGTTTTTGATATAGATTATTGCCATTTTTTTTTTTTACATAAGTGTGTATCTTGCTGGTTTCTCTACCACAATAATTATATCTGAGAGAAAGATGTTATTTTATGTGCTTGTACTGTTGTTATGGACTTTACTCTTGCAGTGGGCATGTCTAAGATGTACTGAGAATATAACCTGTATCTAAAACAAAAAATATTGATTGTTTTTTGTTGTTATTTTTTGTGTCTATGAATATACATATATATGATACTGATACGTATTGATGGTATTGGGAAATTATCCCCCCCCCCCATCTGAATAAAAATTCCCTTGTACATTACCCCTACACAGAAAACTACAGTAGGATTTTAACTCCCCCCCCCCCCCCCACATTGGGGATACACTTAGGGATATGGTTAAGGACTAATTAGGGATAGGGAAAGTTTGGGGATAAGACTTGGGATATGGTTATATTTATAGAGATGGTTATGTTAAAGGGATAACATATATGATAATGGGTGTGTCAAGTATTCTGCACCAATCAGCTCAGGGTTATAGCTGACCATACAGTTTCATCAAATGCCAGATTTAAAAAAAAGGGTAACCCTACATTTGCCCTCCTGAATCACAAGACCAGAAAGAGGTCATTAGTTTTTAACCCCAGGGTCTTACGATGGTAGCCCTCAAAATCTTGCGATGTGTCTAGAACAAAATTGGTCATCAGCTCAATCATTCTGTAGATCTTCCAGATCCACCAAGCTCTGGTGAGTACTTGGGTGACTAGAGACTATGTTATACCTTCATTTCCCATTACCGTAAAAAGAAGTTAACCCTGGAAAAACTTAGCTGGGAGACTTCATGATTGTTAACCCAAAAGTCCTGATGTAAGACCCCCAGAAGATTATGATTGGTAGCTGGGGACAACAACCCATCTAGATAGAGGGTTGTTAGCTGGGGACAGCAACCCATCTAGGTGAGGGTTGTTAGCTGGGGACAACCCATCTAGGTAGAGGGTTGTTAGCTGGGTACAGCAACCCATCTAGGTATAGGGTTGTAACCTGGAGACAGCAACTCATCTAGGTATAGGGTTGTTAGCTGAGTACAATCCATCTAAATAGAGGGTTGTTGGCTGGGGACAACCCATCTAAGTAGAGGATTGTTAGATAGGGAAAGCAACCCATCAGGTAGATATGTGCCATATGGTGCATAACATGTAAATATGTAATAATTATATTGGAGGAAATCCCCTTCAGTGTACCAATAATTAAACCAACATTATTCACACAACTAATCAACAAATTAAAAAAAAAAGAGTATATTTATCTTTCAAAACTAATGTAAAGTAGAAATATGAACTGAAGTTTTTATTAATCTATAACAAAAATAACAGCTTCATCAACTCATCATGGGTTTAATGATTAAACAATTTGCTGTTATCATTGTACAGTAAAGCTAGTATTACTCAAAGAAGTAAGAAGTTGTTTTATTGTTTACAATATTCCCATTCTGATAAGTGTAACACTACAAACATAATAATTTTAATAAGTTTTCTCAATCGGACATCTCTGATGATATCACCCAAACCAGAGGTCCCTAGAAGATTTTCTGTATAGCCATACCACTTGTATTGTTATGGTGAGATTATAAGGTACCCCAAACCTAAAAACATGTCAGAATGGTTTAGCAAACAATAAATAATCCTTCTTTGATTGTCGCATACTCTTTATTTCAGTAGGCAAGTTAAAAACCATTTAGTACATAACTTTTTCTATAGTTTATCATAGAAATATATTGGTACCTTTACGCCTATACCAGCCACTGACACTTATATTAGCAATTTTGTACCAATCAACAAATTCAAACATTCAGGTTTTCAAAATTTACAATTGTAGGCCTTCAAATGTAAAATAAAAAATAACATTCCAGTCTGTAGTTATAATTATATCATCAAAGGGACATTTGTTGACACAGGTAATTTCACATCACCACCAGGCAACTTTTTGATAAGGAATTATTCATTTTATAAAAATGTATTGTTTTTCACCATACCGCCATCCTGTCTCTTGTGTGTAATAATAGCGCAAAAATATGGCCTAAAGTTTCAAATAGTAATTTATAGGTTTTATAAGGATCTTGTTGAATAACCACACTCACATATTATACAACAATGCTGTACCACTTATGATAAGGAAAAAGGCTAGGGTTGGGGCAGAAATATTGTTATCAATTGTAGTAGCTATTTACATGTGCTTATGGGTACACTTACCAGTTATTTAAAAAGTTATTGAACAACTTCCATATTCAGGGAAAGAATGCTTAGTCATAATCAACAAAATAAATGTGTGGGAAAATTATGTTTTTTAATGTTTCCTGTTATGGCAAAACTAAATTGTATTTACATGTGTCCAAGTATTTGCATGTTTAATTAAATACATAAGCAGAACTGGGCTATTTTCTTTTTACAATGAAGATAAACATGATTGTGTAAAGCATGCACCATTTGTCTTGAAACAATAATTGCAATTATAATTGATTTTAAAAAAATAAAACTGTGTGTGCCTGCCAAGTAAGAAACTTTAAACAAAAAGGAATAACCTGATGTATTTCTTCATAAACCAATAAAAACAAAAAAAATGTAAAAATTATTTTAGAAATCAAACATTTTCACTATTGTAAATTTAAACACAATACTTTTACAGAACAGAGACTCATGTGGCTTTTATCAAGAATAAAAGCAAGGTTATTTGCGCAATACATAGCAAAAGAAACTTATTCTGATAGCAATGTGAAGCACTTATGCTAAACTAGATACGTTACACAAATAGATGTCTCTCACTTTGTAAGCAGGACATTACTAAAAAAATAAACAGCCAATATAGAAGAGCACAGCTCCAAACAACTAGAGTAACACATATCAACCATTAAATAATAATTTAAAAATCATTTCCCTGCATCAAACTAAAGCTTTCATTAAGTGAAACCCTTACTCAAGTCATGCCAACCTCTTATCCGAAAGTTAAATGCTCTGATAAATGATTTTTTTTCCTGAAAAAATTAATTTCTTTTGATAATATATACTGATCAAAACTGAACAGATTAAAAAAAACTACACATCAAACTATAGTAAAATTGTACAGGTTTGTATTTGCTAATTTTAAAACAATATTTGCCATGCAGTTTAAGAAAACCTATATCAAATTATTATTTTATAAACATACAGGCTTATAGTATTAGTATTTCTTTTTATTTTAAAAAAAATTGAACCAATTTCAGTAAGCTCAATTTATTTTTTCGTCATAATGTATCTAAAGCTTGCATTATTTATTATTGTTGAAACATAATAAAGAAATGTTTTTTTAAAAATCCTAAGTAACATTTGTAAAAAATATCCTGTATGATGTCTATTTATATTTTTAATCCAAGTACTTCTACTGGTCTCTACTGACCAAACACACCTAATGATCAGACATTTAATAAGAGGTTGCTGATTTGTAAGGCTTTGATGACATAATGAGAATGGATTATTAGCACAACCCGGATTATATCAGCTACTGAACAGTTGAACTAAAGAATATACTAGCATGAGTTATAAATCAGTGATGGGATAGTTGAGCTAAAGAATATACTAGCATGACTGAGATAATAATCCCAACATTTTATGATGCAGCTAAGGTGGAGTGAATCAGGTCTAGGTGGCAAGTGCCCAACCCTAGGTGGCGAAACATGCAGTTCGTAACTCTGGCTTAAGAACAAAAAATTTTTAATTCATATATGTTTTTGTATAAGCCAAAATAACACAAAAAAACGACCTTAATATTTGTATACTATTAAATATTCACATTAAAGCTAGATCATTGTGACTAGGTAAAAAAAAAAATGAATGTTTGACTTTTTGCATTTTGCTGGCTGCTCTTTGAATATAGTAGCCTGGCAATGATCAATTATTAGGTGCTAATTATAAAATAATAATAAATTACTCTTTGATAGTAAATTATACCAATTATTAAAATGAACAGGAATGTTAAAAAGGATGTTTTGCTGAACTTATTATAATTTATAAATTTTTACACAATATGCTTTCAATATTTCAATATGATTTACGCCAATTTAAAAAATCAATACACACTGATAATTATAACAGACCTTAGAGCTTGCAAACAACAATCTAAAAAGTATCACAACCAATGAAGAATAGGATCTCAATGCCACTAGATAAACCTGGACACAGTTTAAAAAATTTTCTTAAAGGTCTTCCAGTAAAATACAATAATTACTTCAAGTGCTTTTACCTTAGTTTACTTATATGAACAGTTTTGACACATTTTATCATTGGCTAAGAACATATCCTTAAAATATTGCTGTGTATTGCTAAGAGGTAAGTGAAATCCAACTTGAAAAAAAATGTTGAATCATGGTGTAAAGGGAGATAACTGCAAAAAACTGTTTTAAACCAAAATTATTTTTTCAATAAAGGCAATTGCTTAAATGTGCACAAAAAATAAATATATCACTGAATAAATAACTTTCCAAGATTATCAAAAACTAAACATTTTGCTTTTTAAAAACGTTGAAGACAATTGATATTTTAATCTTAGAGTGCAATATTTTAAAAAAAATTACTAAATTTGATTACAATGACATAAAATACAGTGTACACATCTTTATTTACAAAATAAGCTTGGTTTTATCAACAATTGAAATTCTCTAGTTTATAGAACTAAACAATATAAATATGTACATGAAAATGACAGGCAATTCACACGATATACAACAGGCATGAGAGATCTACACCACCCAGTACTTGGATGGTTTGTGCACGTCACATGACACATCACATGATACAAAAATATCCCATGACACTGGTACTTTTACAAGATCAACACTACTACCACACACTGACACAGTCGCCACCAGAAGCAATTACTACCACATGTAACACTCAGAGCTTGTACGTGATATGGATGGAATACAAATGTCAGCCGAGGTTGAAAAAAAAAAGATGATACTCAGCTGATGCTGTCATGTGGAGAGTTGTGGTTGGTGAGGAAAAATTTGACTTGACTTAATTAAAATAAGCTAGAGATAATAATTACAAAGCTTCAAGATCTACATGTCTGATTTCTGGATGCTTGCTCTGAAAAACAAATAAATTTGACATGATTAAAGATGATACACTGTTGTGATAGACTTAAGGACATAAAAACCAAGGTTAAATTTACATGACTGACATTTTTTTTAACAGAACCAGAAAAGCTAATAATACTTTGGATGATACTACACACAACACCAAGAGTTGATATTATTATATTATTGCGAGAAAAATGTTACAAATACCGACAATATATATTTAAGTTTAAAATATTTTAATACATTTATCATGAATAACATATTTTCATACATATTCACAAGTTAAAACTTCTCAAATAGATATTTGTTTTAAACATAACATTTACAATTAAATGCCACACTGCATATCATTAACACACAAATAATACCTTCAAAGATTTTTCTATCCTGTCCACTTCTGCACCCAAAGCATCAATAATTTTCTCACCATGGTTCATCATGAAGACCTCCAGTTCCTCTACAGTTTTCAGTTTCTGAGCTTCCTATGGGCCAATATAACACAATATTTAAGTAAATAAAGCTTCAGTTTCTGAGCTTCCTATGGGCCAATATAACACAATATTTAAGTAAATAAAGCTTCAGTTTCTGAGCTTCCTATGGGCCAATATAAAACAATATTTAAGTAAATAAAGCTTCAAGTTCTAGGCTTCCTGTGGGCCAATATAACACAATATTTAAGTAAATAAAGCTTCAGTTTCTGAGCTTCCTATGGGCCAATATAACACAATATTTAAGTAAATAAAGCTTCAGTTTCTGGGCCAATAAAACAAATGTTAAATTTGCTGATATATTAATCAAAATATAAGAAAATACACTGAGAATTTCTTCACCTATGTTTAATGAAAATACATTTTAAGCCTTTTTAGCAACCGGTTAAAATTGTTTATCACAAAGATAGTGCAGCATCCAAATCTGACTTCTACAGGAAAATTTGTCTAATTACAACCCAGAATGATAGTTTCAAACTATCTCACAAAGCTACCATAAAAGTAAATGCTTATAAAGGTAAGTGCTTTAAATTATACAGTGTATACAAATACAAGACAGTAATTCTGAAACAATCTTACCGCTAACATTAGGTCCAGATCTTGTTTATACAAGTAGGCCCTTGTAATCTCCTTCCCATCAAAGTCAACTTCAGCCTTGTAGCGGACGACTCCCCCCATCTGTGTGGCCTTGATGTCATGTAGTGACCTGCCATAACACAGTTTTAAATCAACAACAGCTTCAATTTTATACACTTAAAACATTTAAGAATCTACTTCAAAAAGATTAACTAGAAATAAGTAAAATATTCTCTAGTTAAATCTGTATTCAAGTAGAGAGTGTTCCGATTTTTAAGGTTCTTTATGAAAAACAAAATGAATTTCATCAAGCTAATATGACAAAATCATCTACTTTTTTATAAATTTCATTTTCTTGCACTAAGTAATAAATTAAGTTCTAAACATGTTTGCACTTGTTTGTTGTAGTAAATGTTGTAAAACAGCAACCTGATCATTCTGTCACGCTCCAGCAGTTGACTGATCTCTTGTCTCTCCTCCTCTGGGATGGATCTAACGATACAATTTATTGGAGAAACTGATAAGATACAACACCGAAATAAAATGTCTTAAACTTATTTAGTCCACTTTGAATCTTCTTCTCTTCTTCGCTTCTTAATTTTAAGTGTTGGAAGGGATCGAGCCTTATCTGCCAGAGGGTTTAAACTCGAGACTTTTTTGAATTTATCAACCATGTGCTTTTGCCGACTCGACCACGCCTCCATCACAATTAAGGATTACATGTCAACTGGTTATGCGCCATTGAGGCCATTGACTCCGATTTCAGCCTGCTTTTCTTTTTGGATTTGCTTCCATAGCCTTTGTCCAACCAAGAACAAACTACAAGGCAGCAGTTGTTTGATTTTGGAGTTGTCTCTCCAAGAAGAGTGACTGTCCCCAGCTAACAAGCCTCATCTGCCCGAGGGTTCGAACTCGAGATTTTTTTGTTTAGCAACCATGAGCTTTACCGACTCGACCACGCCGACCCCTCCACTTTGAATGAAAAAGATTACAAATAATGAAAATTTGTTGACAGCCTTGCTTAGGTTACAGACAAGGTGATATTTCCTCAAGTGTCAGTTAATCAAATTAAAATAAAAAAGGGATTTTAAAAAAAAAAAAAATTCATGATGGGAATATATGCGTTAAGAGTTCTTATGATAAAATTAGGCTAATAGACTGGACCTTTCTGTTTCTGTTATAAGATGCCTGCTGTAAATTTAATTAAACTTATTTATAAATTTACCTCCCGACCAACTGCTGTGTGTTTTGATGGATGATGAAAGCAGCGACGGAACCAAGGAGAGTGCCAATCAGAGCTGAGCCTGCAGCATCAGCAGATGAGGAGCCAGTTATTGCAGAGATGCTAATACAAACACCTGCAATGCCAACTCCCAAGACAGCAGCAAAATCTTCCAGCAGCACTACATTGACATTAGGATCTATTCCACTCATCACTAGAAAAAAAGTATAGAAATATTTTCATTTGCAACTGAAATACTTGTATTATATAAGTAATGTATCGTTCCATAAGAAAAAGGTTCAAGAAATAAATACCAGCAGAATCTTTAAATAGATCTACACTTTTATTTCTATTCGTAAATATTTAATATAAAGAACATATAATAACTTTAAAATTAAAATAACTTTTTAAAATAACCTACAATAGTCTCTAACACCCATTTCATGAGATTTGGCTCCTCTTCTCACTTCTCTGATAGCAATTAAGAGAGTACCTTAAAATACATAACAAGTCAGATTACAAACTAATATAAAAAAATAATAATTATCAGATTCTCTTGTTTATCACAAGAATAAAAGTTGGGGGAAAAATAGAAGATTATTTCAAAACAAAATTTTACAGGAGATATTATTAATACACTGTGTAATTTTTTTTATGTCTTATTTGGAAATGGGAGACTATCACAATTTAAAACATTACCTCCCTCTGAGATGAAGGAACCAATCAATGTCGCTACACACTGAAGAAAAAAAAAACATTAGTAAATAAAAGGTTATTATAAGATGTATAAAAATTGATTTGTTTGTGGTTCATTTGTAAAAATAATCATGAAAAATGTACCCTAACTATTTTTCCCCATTAATCAGCAGTAGAGAAAAATTAAAATGCAACCTATTTTTATTTATTTAAAGATGATCCAAATCCTGCTGTTACTTGTAAAAAGTAATTGACCTATTATTTACTATGTTAAAGTATATAGTAAGTTATAACCAGCACCAAACAATTGTTTCAAACAGATCTCACCCATGTAAGGTTGCCTAACTCTGTTGGATGTAGGAATCCTTGAAGGCTGTGATAATAGGAAAGGCCAGTCCCAAAGAAAAAAATTCCAACTCCACTGATCAACGATGATATGTGACGAAGGTTTCGGTATCCATACCTACAGTTACAGTAACATTACAGAATTTGTTTTTGGTTTATCTACTTTAAGCAGTAAATAGGCCTATTCTTAAAAAAGTGATAATTTTAAAATGACAGCATCATTTTAAAAAACACTATATTAAATTTACCACTAATTAATTAATTGTTGCAAACTGTTCTTAAAATACAATTTTTTAAAAAGCGACAAATATCCATAAAAAAGCTGAAAGGTTGCATCTATACTGAGTATTAGGCTATAATGTAAACAGCTAAATAACATTAAGATTTTGCAAATATCGGCATAAAAAACTTACGGGTGATCTGTGTCTGGTTTCTTAAATGAGTGATACAGACCAAAACCAAGAATAATCTGAAAGGAAAAGAGGTTATTATTAATAGTCACTGTATTAAAAAGCAGTAATTTTTTAGAGTATTTAGAAAAAAAAAATTTTAACTATTCATATTTACAAACAAGTAATCTAATGTAATTTTTTCAGAATTTATTTTAACAAACATTACGTAACATTATTTTTAATCATTAGATTAAGAATTGGACCACACCTGGTTCACAGTGTCAGCAGCGGAGTGGATAAACTCTGAGAACATGCTGTGAGATCCTGTGTACAGCCAGGCAATAAGCTTGAACAGGCTGTTGGCTCCATTGCTGAAAAATATATTTTTAAAGAAATCAATCTTGGTGGAGCAGTATAGCCCACATAGATGAAACATAGGGAAGGTGTACAAAATGTGGAAGATAAGGCAGGGAAGAGGAATGCCTTAGATAAATAGCTTACTATTAATTTTTTAAAGAAACTAAAGATTTTTTTAAAGTTTTATAATTTCAATAAAATTCAAACTGGCTTTAATTTCCAATGAAATAGATTTGAAATTGCTTGATAAAAAACGTCTCCCACAAAAAAAAATAAAAAATGTTGTGGTTTTAACAGTACTATTAATTTGTACACACTATAATGCATTTCTATAAATTGAGTTCTACATGATGCCTAAAAACAATTTTAATCTAAGTTTTAACAACTTACACAAAAATAACAGACACATGTGTAACTTACACAAAAATAGCAGACAGCACAACCTTAGTTGATCCTGAGCTCCAAAATGTCTGTTCTTGGGAGACTTGCTTCAATTTATAACAATTACAAAAAGGAAATATTTAAATTATTATTTTTGTAAAGTTAATTAAAATTCATCAATTAATAATAATGTACTCTTAATTTACAAAATAATACATTGTTTAGTGCTGTTCTGTTGCTTTTGCCTTTGTTCTGTTACAAAAACGTTTTGTTATTTACAAGAAGCTTAACAGGTGTTAGGAGAGTTCATTATTGCAAATTTAATTTACTGTATTACATACATAACTATACAATCAAAAGTATCAAGTGTGAAACTAACATAAAAGAGACTCATACCTTTGGGGTCTGTTGGGATCCTGAACTACCCTCAGCACTCCGGGCATTAGGGTCATCTGGGTTGACAAAACCAGTGGAAGAATGCATTTCACCCAGTAGCATTCTTACATCATTGATGTCATCTGCAACATACAAATAAAGATGTATTGAAAAAGAATAAACTAATTGGTGAACAAATTAGGCACAAAAACTAAAATTACATTTACCCCATTATTTTGACATCAATAAAGTACTACTATTATATATAAATTAACTAAAACATAAAGATATTTATTACTACTTTTAAAAATATGCTGCAACCTTAATAATATTTTAAATTGGTAAAAATTGTCTATACTATTTAATAAATTATAAAAATAATTACAATTTTTTAAGTTGTCAGAGTTTGTATTTCTTAGCCTGGCCTTTTCTTTATTTAACTTGTCAAAATCACCCCATTTTTTCAATGCTCTGAAAGATATTACAGAGTCAAAACTATAACCAAATGTTCAATACATAAGGCTGTCATATATTTCTACACAAATACTTCATAAATCATACAATGGTAAAATTAATAATTGAACAGTAGTAACACAGTAATATTCTAATTATGCTTGTTAAAATGTTGATGAGTGAAAATATAATAATTAGAATACACATGCTATAGAAATGAAACATTTCAAGCAGTAAAATGACATTAGTACTAGCATTATTAAGTTACATTAATCTTATTTCCATTTACATAAAACATCAAAACTATCCAAAAAAACATGTCTTACGCTTCCTCTACATCTGTTCTAAGGTAAAGGGTTATGCGAGTGCCATCATCGTATGGACTTCTTCTGGTGTACTTTGGCAGATCAACAATATCACTACAGGAGAGAAACAAAAATTTTTGTAATAGGAAATTAGACAGTAATAGAAAAACAAAATTTAAAAAAATAAAGGATCTAAAATAAATATGATTAACCCACCTTGGCATAAGAAGGTATTCAACTAAGGCTCGTTTCGGAAGAATATAAATATTACCCGTATAACTATAATCTATTGGATTAGGCTTCCTCATTCTAGGTATAACTGTAAAAGTAGAATTTATAGAAATAAAAAGCATTTTAAACAATATTTTACACAACAAAACAGGTATAGTTTTAAATATTTAATACAATTCAACTCATAGTTGGCTACATAGTAGTATTAAAGATTTAAAAAATGTAAAATAACAATATCATGTTAAAGGGGGTTTATTAGTCAGTAATCGTCTATGTGAATTATGTGGATGAGGTAAGGGACAGATTGTTTCCATATGGATGGCTTTATGTTGTCACAGTTTCTGAAGTTTTCAATAAACCAACTTTCAATAAATCATATAATGGTATGACATTCTCCACATCAGATTTAGGAGCTAACAGGCTAAAAATAAGAACACTTAAACTATAAAGCTAATGTGTTTATTTTTTAGAAAAGCTTCTAGTGCAGTGGTCCTTAACCTTTGGGGGTACAGAACCCCAACAATTTCATATACATATTCACCTTCTTAATAGTTCTATTGTCTGTACTGACAAAATCAGATTGTGAATCATAAGAGTCGTGCGTGTCTTGACTCCCACTAAACCACAGAGAATGGCTCAATGTACCCCCATGGTTCAATTGAACCCCGGTTAAAAACCAATGTTCTATTCACCCCGATAAACCACAGAGAATGGTTCAATGTACCCCCGTGTTTCAATTGAACCCCAGTTAAAAACCAATGTTCTAAACTGTTATAAACATTTACCACTTAAAACTTTGTTCTTTTTCCTCTCTGCATCAGCAGTTTCACCTGTGGTGGCAGCTTCACTCTGGCCAGCAGCTTGCCCTGTTGCTTTGCTCTGATTTTTATCAGGCTGCTTAGAGTCAGCTACATTGTCTGAGGAGCTGCTCTCATTAGCAGGGTTGTTTGTTTTGTCTGGAGTATTTGAAAAACAGCAGCTAACAATGATAGATCCTGAAACATTTTTGTTGGGCCAGAGACAGAAATAACCAGAGAGTACACTTGAAGGTTTAATACTGTGAATGGTGTGTACATTTCTGTATCTTACTGAGCTAAGATGATGATGACAATCTGCAGAGAACAGAAACAAATGAAGGATTTTAATTTTAATTAAAAATGACAAGCACATTCAGGATTTGTTTCCAGACTATTTTTCTGTAATGGTATCACATAGAAGAACCTAACTATCTAACAGTATTTCTGAAGTTTGCTTAAGACAACACTATAAAATATCCCTTCCTGCTTTAAAGAATGCTATTACGTAGATATGGAAGTGTTGGGAAAAAAATTGTTTAAAATGTTATGTAGTTTTGTTCAGTTTTTTAAACTGGTTAGGTTTTTTTTTTCTAAATTTATTGCAACATGACCATTAAATATGGTGTAGCAAGAGATAATTAATGAGAGGCTTAGTTAATATTTTTGAAAAAAAAAACATTTGTTTTACTTTTATTTGATCTCCAACACAAATCAGTAACATGGAAAATGCTTTTTCAAAATAACCTTTTTATTAAATGACTATTAGATCTATGCAGAACTTATGATTCTTTAATATAATGCAACGCTCACCTCAAGTTGCTGTTTTTTTTTAACTAGTTAGACATCTCGTCCATAACAATCATGCACTATCTCCTTGTTGATTTTTTATGTTTAAATAAATGGCTTAGCCTGATGTTGTTTAATTCAGGCTATTAATTTTTCTTCAATCTTCTATTAATAGTATTGAATAAGAAGGAACATTTATCTTCCATTTCCTCAAAATGGTTTGGTAGAATACATAAGCGATGTTATATCATATTTAAAGTGTAAATTTACAAAAATATAATATCTTCTACAAATACTAACCTTGACAGACATATAACGTTGGAAGTGATTTCTTAAGGTTAGCCACTGAACTGATACAAGCTCTCACTTCTGTATATGCTGTCAAAGATGATTTAAACATCTTGACAAACTGTTGGGAAAAAAACATAAATCTAGAAAATGGTTTAAGGTAGGTGGGTCTAATACTTTTCATAAAGTAGATTCTATCTTGTAGCTTAAAATCTAGCTAAGCTAGTTAGAAAATTTAGAAAAGGTTTTTTTAAGCGATGGTGTTTAAAAATAATTTTTTAAAATAAGATATTGCTGGATGGGTCACATTTTTAGAATGTGTTTAGATGATATCATACAAATGGCACTTAACTGGACACCTCAAAGAAAAGAAAACAGAGAAAACACAAAGAGACATGGAGGCAAACACTACACAGAAGAAAAACAACTGATATAAGCAGGACTATCTTGGGGGACTGTTAAGAAAATTGCCAGAGGCCAGCAAAAGTGGAAAGGGTCAATATTTCCAGTCAATCCTTTGTATTATCCCTAGGCCTAACAGAATGAGCCCCCCCCCCCCTTCCACCTCCACAGCATGCCCTCAACCAATCGCTGGGTTTGTTGCATACTGCACATTGAAAGATTAAAAATTCTTTAGGGGATTTTATTTTGCCTAATATAGGACTAGGCTATGTAACTAATTTGCTTTTGAAATTCAGGGAGTAGAATTTAGATTTTCTAGATCTAGTACACAAACAATTAAAATTAAAAACAGGCCCAACTAAGGTAAAAAATATTAAATAAATAACAGACTGAGGTAGGGCCTAACCGCTAACCTAAATTAAAAATAAATTTAGGCCTAAATTAAATAATTAAATTATTTGTCTTAAATCACAATTTAATAGTACACAATACTAGAATACTATAGATCTACAATAAATTCTTTCGATTCACGTAGATCTACACTACAGGCTAAATCTCGGAATCGATCTGATTAAAAAAAAACCTCTAGATCTAGATTCTTAAATCAGATTGAATCAGCTGACTGACCTGCTTACTTAATACTTGCAGCTCCGCTGCTACCTTCTCGACGCCGATCACGACGTCTTAATAGTTCTGTTTTTATTTTCTATAAAATATGCAATGTGTCTATACTTTCTATGTGAATAGTAGATATAATCCGTATGAAATGTCTTGACAAATCTGTTTACAAGATTTTTTAGAACCTACTCTGTCATTGTCTGTTTGCACTTTTACTTAAAAATCTGTTTACATCTCGAAATGAAAGGGAAATGCGTTACCTCCCTTTGATTATTATTAAAAACATTAAGTAACGGCTTAACAAATCAATAAATAATTTGTTAATGTATATGTGATATTTAAACTATACCGTTAGGCCTATTTAATAGCATGTGTGCATTAAAAAACCTTAATAATAATCTAGATCTAATAGTAATTTTAAGTTGCAGGTAACTGATTTAGTTAATTAAAACCGTAAGTTAGGCCTAGGCCTAGCAGCTACTGCTACTCAGTGATTCTGATTCAACTTAGTTACTTGACTTCTAGATTCTAGCTAGATTCTAACAAGCTTAACTAACTAAAGCTAGACTAGCCCTAAGTAAAATAAAATACAGGTTTTTTAATAGATCTAGATCTATATTGAATCTAGATTCTAGATGCCCCACACTAGTCTAAATGGGCTTTTGTATTTATTTTATTGCTTTATGACGACAAAATATATTTTAACCCACATATCGTAGCCGAAATAGCTCAGTTGGGAGAGCGTTAGACTGAAGATCTAAAGGTCCCTGGTTCGATCCCGGGTTTCGGCAGACACTTTTTTTCTTAATCAAACTCTACCCTCTAAAATAAAAGCATTTTTTAGCTCATGAAATCTACACATTTTAGTGACCCATGCTTTTATAAAAGAAAGCAAATATTTAGTTTTATTTTCTTATTTTCAGAGCAATTGATATGGTCAAAAACCGTTAAAATTATTAAGGCTTAATTCACTACAACCATAATTATGTTAAGAAGAGTTAGGAAATTTTAAAAAAAAAGCAAAAAAAAAAAAAACCTTATTAGTTAAGAAGTTCTGTTTTTTTCCAGAGCCTACCCCCGCAATATAATGGATGCAGAGCACATAAGCCTAATATAGCAAGTCGATGTTATTCAAACATCTCTAATTAATTTGCTAAAATGGGAGAAAATTATGTCATTGTATCTGACCTGCCCCGTTTAAATTGTCATCATCATGCAACAGCTGGTAAGGGGCCGTCCATAAATGACGTCACACTCGTAGGGGGGAGGGGGGGGGTCCGTAATTTTGTGACGGTGTGTGATGAGGGGGAGTGGGGTGGTTCAGATGGTGCATTATAAAAAAGCAATGTTAGAAAACGAATTTTAGACGTTATTTTGCGTCTTGCGTTTTAGAAAACTTTTTAATAAATTGAAATAGGAATTGATTAAAATACAGAGTTCAGACAAGATTTGGGGGAAAATGTCGATGTTTAAAAACAAATTCAACTGCAATTGTGATGGGGGGTTGTAGGCTGAGGTGTGACGTCATTTTAGGGGGGGGGGGTGGGTCTGGCTTTTTGTGACGACGTGTGACGGAGGGGAGTAGGGGAGATAAAAATCGTCAAAAAAAGCGTGACGTCATTTATGGATGACTCCTAAGCCACTTCTTTTGCTCTTTGGTTATCAAAGCTCGCAACAACATGAGCTTTGTTATATTATTAACGAGAGTCTGTCAATCGCGCACTTGGGGCTTTGGCTGTACACCTAGATCTAAATGACATGATATCCGTCCATGCTACTACAAATAATGCGTGCGTACGTGCGGCATCAAAACGGCCAGTGACAAAACGGGCCCATCAAAAAGAGCCCTTTCACGTCGACCCCGTCATAAGGGACAGCGACAAATGGACCCCGTTATATGGGTTCTTATCAAATAGACTCCCGACAATTTGGCTCCCAACAAAAAGGCTCGAAACTAAAGGGCTCCCGACAAAAGGGATCCGCAGACAATAAGGTTTTCGTAGAGACTAGTGAATTTGTTAGGAATGAGTCAATTGTGCTTAAGCAGGGCAAGATGAAAAATTCGTATCTTATTAGATGCTTGTTAATATAGCATGAAAATTATTAGGTTAAGCTAGATCTTTAATTAGAATCTGGCGTAGCGAGGTAGGATTCACCCTGTGCGGCACTTAATGGTGTCACCCCCCAGAGGCGTAGCGACCCTTCCCGGGGACAAACTTTCAATTTTCGAGTTGCACCCCTCCTCAAACTTTTGATTTGCCCCCCCCCCCCCAACTTTCGATTTGCACCTCCCCCCTCAAACTTTCGATTTGCACCTCTTAAACACTATTTAACACTCGAATTAATCACTTCATCAAGTGGAATTATCATTTTTCTCTATATATTTTGCTATTTTTAGCCTTGGTGTCACCCCCCTAAATGGTGTCACCCGGTGCGGTCCGCACCCCCCTCCCCACCGCTACGCCTCTGATTATAATATCTTAGTGTTAGTTTGGACCGCCAATATTATGGTAATCCAATTTAATTAGGTGTACGTAATGACGTAATGATATGGTCTGTATGGATTATTGTTTATGAACCACTTATTGATTTATAGCATTGTAACGGGAATTGCCTGTAGTTTCTATGATAAGTTTATTAGAATTTTAGGAGATTGCGGTTTATTGTTATATAGAGTTATTTGGGGTAGGTTAGCACAAAACCAGGGGAAATGTTCACAGGTAAGCGCTAGAATTCGCGCCGAGAGCAAGGTGTCACCGAGACGCTCTGGGATGGGGTAAGCCGGATTAGCCTTAGAGGGGATGGAGAAACGACGGCCGTAGTCTCTAATGTATGCAGAACACGTGTTGGCGCTATAGTCTTCTTAGATGCGCGCTACACAGGCAATTCCTGGTCAAGAAAGATACTGTACTGTTCGCATATAAAGATTTACAGAAGACGACTTATTCTTCAGTTTTAAATCTTATGTGACTTAGAGCAAGAAACTATAGAAGAAAAACATTACACTATAAGTCTCCCGGTGAAACGGCCTCTTTTAATGTGGCCCACGGGCACGCCGTACATTTATCTTCAGTATTCAATAGATTATCAAAACAAAACGCAGTTTATCCTGCGAACATCATGCATATTATACATTTAAACTTCTGTGTTCGCTTTTGTAAAACATAACAATTTTAAAAGTAGTGCACTTACTGTTAATACCTCGATTTTGTATATGTCGCAATAGGTTTTTTAGCGCAATTTCCTTACAGGAATTGCGATTATTATTACTCGTCATTTCTGGATGGATGTGTGTCCGCAGCTTTAGTCCGCAGCTTTAAGTCGTATATCCTCCTAAACGAAGCAATATCGAGGACTAGTTCCAAAAGCAAATATGTTAAGCAAGTTCCGAGGATGATTGTGGGCAAAAAAAATTCCCGGAATTCCTTCCTGGATTTCCTGGAAAAGCCAAAAACCTCGAACAAATGCAGTTTTTGCTCCATATCTCGGCAACCAGACCACTTAGCGACTTGAAACATTTACCAATCGATTCCTGCCATAATTTAGAACAATATTGCCGAAGAAAGTTTTCAAAAATATCCTTTCGTTCGGTCACAAAAAAATAATTAAGGAAATTGCGCTTAAATTGTCACAAGACTTTTTATTAACTTGTTTTTTTTTAATCCAGGCATTTAAAAAAGGTTATTGGAGGTAGAAACTGCGTGTTGTTGTTGGGTTTGATTTAAAAATAGTCTATGGGGTCATCCATAAATGACGTCACGCTTTTTTGGACGATTTTTGCCTCCCCCTTCCCTCCGTCACAAAAAGCCAGACCCCCCCCCCCCTAAAATGACGTCACACCTCAGTCTACAACCCCTCTCAAAATCGCAGGTGAATTTTTCTTAAAACATCGATATTTTTTCCAAAATCTTGTCTGAACTCTGTCAACATATTATAGAGTATCTTAATCAATTCCTATTGCAATTTATTAAAACAGTATTCTAAAACGCGAAATAACGTATACAATTCGTTTTCTAACATTGCTTTTATATTATGCGAAAGTGTGACGTCGCATCATCTGACCCCCCTCATCACACACCGTCACAAAATTACGGACCCCCCCCCCCCTCCCCCCTTAGAGTGTGACGTTATTTATGGACAGACCCCTATGCCAAAAGTGGCCATACGAGTTATTATTATTATTAATAAATAAGTTTAGATTTTGGAGCCAATATGTCGTGATTCAATATGACGGGAGCTAATTGACGGGGGGGGGGGGAGGCAATATGTCGGGGTCTTTTTGTCGGGGCTATTTTGACTGAGTTCTTTTGTCGAGGGCCGATTTATTTTGACGTTTTGGCCATGACTGTGCACCGTTCTCTTCTAGACCTCGACCAATATTGGCGTTTTCAACAAATAAGAGTTCTTTTCCGCTTTTAGCGTCGGGTGAGATTGTTTTACTTTTTTTTACCCCTGCCCTAGAGTAGCCTAGAGGCACATGACGCAACAACATTCAAATTTTACTTTCACCCCTCACTATTGTGTCTATTATGTGACATTCAACTATTTAATAAGATCTAGAATCTAGACTAGATCTATGTAGGATCTAGATTCTAGATCTACATCTATTTATTGTGTTATAAGTCAGATCAGTCAGATGACCACACACACACTGACAGATGAGAAGATGTCAACAATAAATTCAATTTAAATTGTATTAAAGTTAAAGTATTAAATTCAATAGGCCTAAGGATCATAATGAAAATACCGTCTCTTGTCGCTAGATCTACCATATCAAAATGTATGTAGATTCTACACGTTATTGAATTGTGTATTGAGTATTGATTGAGTATTGTTAAAGTTAATTGTAATGTAGGCTAATTTAATATATAATTTATTAAATTTATAAGACATAACATAAGATGATAAGAGTCTATTCTATTATAGTATAGGCCTAGATCTATCAGTAATGGTAATCTATCGTTTTAGGTAGGCCTACGTAAAATCGCCCGCGACTAGTAATGTGAAAAACAGGTGACTCCTTACCTTTTAATAATTATTTCACATTTTGAGGAGGATTTATGTTTTGAAAAATACAAAAATGTTTCCTTGTTTCATTTATGTAGTAGGCCTACCTGTTTTTAAACAATTGAATTAAAACTTTTCAGTAATAAATGAACCCCAGCGATGTTTCCCAACAGATGCAACCATGCTCATTTACTATAGCAGCCATCTCGTTAAAGTTTTATTTTTATAAACTTATTCTGGCCTTTATTGATATATTTAGCCATTGATTTAGGTTAATTATTCATTTATCTATAATATTTGACACAAACATATCACAATATACTTCTATTACAGCCTTGACAATGAGGTAACGTTTTCGTACATTAATAGCTGCGGGCGATTTTACGTACCCAAAACGATAGATTACCGTCTATATAAATATATGTTCTTTTATGTAGGCTCTATAGTATAGTACTCTATACTAATAATATCTATATAGCAGGCCCTATTATACTATTATTTTTACATAGGCCTAGTCTATCTATAGCCTAGCACTACAGACAAGGTATAGAATAGTAATTAGTATAGCTAGATATTAGATAGTGATAGTGTCTCTTTGTAGTAATAAGTATTAAGTAAGTTAACTAAAGTCAAGACAAATAGCTCTCAGTGTCTCAGAAGGATATTCATAGTTCCGTCGCAATTTTTTAGCTGACCAAATTTACTATTGGCTTAGGGCCTATCGTTTAATTAAGGTGCGTAAAATCGGCCGAGGCTAGTAGTGTGTGAAAAAGTTGCCTCATTGTTAAGGCTTTATTAAGAAGTATAGGCCTGTTGTCACATTGTGATATATTTATTTCTAATATTATAGGCCTAAATAACTGAACAATAAACCAAAATCAATTGCTAAATAAATAATAAATATATCAATATAGGCCAGAAATTAACTTTAGACAGCAGTTAATGCTAGCATGATTTGCTATATTAACAGCTGCCATCTGTAAGTTAGAGTGGTTCCCCTGAATCTCTAACTATAATTTTACAAAAAAAAAAGCTTAAACAAGATGGCTACTAAAATAAATGAGCTTGATTGCGTCTGATGAAAACATCGCTAACAAGTTTTAATACAATTGTTTAAAAACAGGTACATTAATGAAACATTTTTGCAACTTTCAAAACATAAATCCTCCTAAAAATGCTAAATAATTACTAAAATCTAATGAGTCACCTTTTTTCACATTGCTAGTCTCGGTCGATTTTACTTACCTAAAACGATAGATTACCATAGCCTATTTAGTTTTAAAATAAATTTATTGTCCTGTGCATGTGTGCATATTTTTTTATGAAGTGACCGCTAGGAAAAACTAAAAGCTTTTTCCCCCAGTGCTATCTGGCTGGCAAAACGCAATAACCTAAATAGCTGTGCAATGGGCTCAAATTAAATATCATTAATAGGTCTAAATAGCTACGTAAATTGGCAATGGACTTATCTTGCATGTACAACATTTCTACATTTTTATTTCCGTTGGGGTGGCAGAGGTGGTAGCGCATTGGATGGTTTGTTTTCATGGCGTGGTTTCCATTCCTTATTGGCTCTGGGATTTTATTTTGCTTTTTTTTTTGTTTTACTTTAGTGTTTGGGGTTTAGGGTTAGGCATTAGGGTAGGTTTAGGATTATGGTTAGGGTTCAGGGTTAGTATTAAGGTTAGATCTACAAAAAATTACTTCTATATAATATAACAGTACATATTGCATAAGTAGAGGAATTTAAGGATCACAGAAAAATGTGTAGCTCTGATTGGTTAGATTATCAATTTCAATATCCTTCTGATGGCTATTTGAAGTGAACTTCTAATAGCCGCAGCCTATGTATATTATATTTTGTTACTCAGTGATGATCCACTGAGTAACTTAATTCTAGTCAGGCAGGTCTACATTACCTTGTTTCATTCATTGTGTTGCAAATTGTGAAATTGTCACTAGAAAATATAGGCTTAGAGTTTAAGTAATGTAAAAATAATCATATTGCCAGATAAAAATGAGTTTCCATTAAAATTTAAAACTATACAAACTTCTAGAGGGGCTACTAAATTAAAAATAAGCATAGTGTCTTAAGTTCTGAACACTACTCACTACCGGTTCTGAAATTTGATGTGTGTGCTTTAAAATTTAAAAAGTAGCCTCAGTAGAGTTTTAGTCAGATAATTACTAATTAGGTCTAATAATAATAAAGACATCCTCTTGAGTCTAGATCTAGGTTAAATTGACAAAAAATTAGGCCTGTAGTTCATGTAATTCTCTAACTAAACAAACTAGAATTTAACTACACAGCTAGTTATCCTGCAGATCCAGGCCTGGGGGTTGCTACTCATGCTTTATGTAGTTTAATTGACTGCTTTTTTTTTCTCAAAATGCCATTTTTTAAATCACGCAGTTATCAATATCATAAAGTGATATTTTAAAATTAAAATATACAAAAGTAACCTTTAGGCCTAATTAACTGTTCTATTGTCTTTGTTATACAGGGTATTTTGGTTACAAATCAATTCACTCAATGGCCAAACTCAGTCATGATGATGTTATGAAAGTGGTCAAATCTGTTGTACCACCACTTGATTACAGTATGCATAAAGGACAAGCAGGCAGAGTAGCTGTTGTTGGTGGCTGTAAGGAGTGAGTTGTTTACATTTACTATTCATTCAGGATGTAAACTATTACTGATAGATCTGGCTATATTTCCTTTATATTTAAGGTTTTTGGCAATAGTTATGAAAATATTCCAGCAAATTATTTTAAAACTTAACCATAACATGTAGCCTACACTATGCTTCTCAGTGTGCTTACAATTTATGCTATCTCAAATCTTACTGATAAAGCAGGATGTCTATATAGACCTAATATGAATGTAGAGCTGCATGATGTGGATGAATACTTTAAAGTCTGTAACCAGGCATGCTGGACAAAATTTCTGGTATTGAACTTAAAAAAATTAACTGTCCTTTACAGATACACTGGTGCCCCATACTTTGCAGCAATTACTGCACTAAAAGTTGTAAGTTGTTTTTAATTATATATTTGATCTCCTTGATTTCCCCTAAGCTAATTTTTTTTTTCTTAAATTCCAATCCATAGCTAAATTTAATATTTTATACTGAATCAAGTTCAATAATTCTCATTATATTTTGGATCATCAGGGAGCAGACCTGTCACATGTATTTTGTGTGTCTGATGCTGCAACAGTGATAAAAAGCTACAGCCCTGAATTAATTGTCCATCCATTATTGTAAGTTAGTTGGCAGTTTATTCATAATTACAATACTGAAATAGAATACCATACACTAACATAGGTCATAGAGGCTTAGAGAACAAAGATTCCTTTATTTTCATAACAGGGACCAGTTAAATGCTGTGTCAAAAATTTCGGAGTGGCTCCCAAGATTTCATTCTCTTGTGGTTGGACCAGGGCTTGGTAGAGATGAGAATATACTAACTGCAGCATCGGTAAGTCGCACATTGCTTCTCATTTATGTTACAAACAACAAGCTAAAAGCTACCTTGGAAAAGGTTTTTACTTAACTGATGTTTGCAAAAATTAAATCCTTTCGCTTCCAAATAACAAGCACTTCTTTTTGATTAGGGGGTTATACAAAAAGCTAAAGAACAGAAAATACCTATAGTGATTGATGCAGTAAGTATGTTTCATTTAAAATAATGAGAATAATTTGCATTTTATTTTAGAGTAAGAAATTCATATAAAAAAAATAAATGTTTGTAAGATGTCATTTTTAATATGGATGTAAATTTCTATTACTAGGATGGCATTTTCTTGGTGACTCAAGATCCTTCTGTAATTGATGGGTACACTGGTGCGGTTTTGACACCTAATGTTGCAGAGTTTGAACGCCTTTATAAAAGAGTTGTAAGTAGATTAACATTTTTGTTTAACAATTTATGCTTTAATTTATAGGGTTTGATTATTTTTACGTGGTTGTAAAAAAGGTTTTATAAAAAATATTTTAAAAATAAAAATACAGAATCTTTAGTTTTATGTAGATAATTAAAATATTTTTAAAAATATCAACTCATAAATATTAACTCTTAATATTATATTTAGCTTCACTGTGACCCTGACCCAAATAAGCCAATGGAAATGACCACTGAACTCTCTAAAAGACTAGGCAATGTAACTATCATCCATAAGGGACATGAAGACATCATTACCAATGGAGAACATGGTAGTACCAATTTAATTTTCTTTAAATGTAAATTATCTCAACAATTAAATTTTGCAACACTTAATGATGACCTAGCGGTAGAGCGCTAGACCACTAACCCGAAAGTCTCAAGTTTGAATCGGGCTCTAGGCAGTAGAATGTCACTGAGTCCACATAGCTCTGATGGGTACCTAACTTGCGTTAAAGATAGTAAAGGCAGCTGGGCATAGTTCTAACCACACTATCCCTTCATATGCCAAGGTCACAGAAATATGTGAACTCTACTTCACTTGCTCCATGGACTGCCAGATTTGAAAAGAAAACTTTACTTTGCTTACACTTTTTAAATATGTTTTATTAAGTCTAATCATCTTTATAATCTTGTTTTGATAAGTATAAATTAGTATTACTTATTTACTGCTTAAACTTAAGTAAACTTCTGTTATTAAAAGTGTGAACACCTTTAATATTGACAGTGATAGCGTGCTCAGAAACAGGAAGTCCAAGGCGATGTGGTGGCCAGGGAGATTTATTGTCAGGCTCGCTGGGCATATTTTTATGTTGGGCTAGACAGTCATGTGATATAATAAATAAAAGGTGGGTCTGAATAATGTTTTATATTCATGACTAAACTAGTAACAGTTGAACTTGCATTTATAATTAAAACGCAAGACATTTCTTTTAGAAGTGTAATAATAAATCACCTCTTTTTGTTTTGAAATATATTTTGAAACAATTTTTCTTCATTCAGCTTGATATGGCTAATTCAAGTGAAGATATTTGGCACTTATTTTTTCAGTGGTGTAATGAAATCAGACTGCTATGGAATGTGCGCCGCTTATGCTGCATGCGTTCTAACACGTGAATGTAACAGAAGGGCTTTCATGGAGCATGGCAGATCTATGACAACTTCAGACATGATTTCTGTGATACACACATCATTTGAGTCTTTGTTTTCATGATATCTGGTTGGTTATTTAGTTTATTAAATTTGATATAATTGAAGATGTATGGTACGCTGCAAACATAATCAGGCAAAATGTGTTCAATGACAATTTCTTATAAATGATATATTAGACATTTTATAATTTTTAGTACATGTCGATGTCAATTGGTTATTAGATATATAAATGGCAGAAGTTTATTATCTTCTGAGGACCCTAAAAGACAGTATTGGTATACAAAAAAATACAGACCACAATTAAAAAACATGGCATTCAAATCTCCAAATCTCAAAAGAAGACATTTGTATGTTGTATGTTAACACTATTCAAGATTGACTTTCTATCACATGTACACCAACAGAACAAAAATATCTAAATAGTCAGAAGTATTTTTTGCTTGATTATCACACATCCATGTTTTGGTTATCTAATCATCCTCTGCTGTTTGTATAACAATATGCAATTTTATGGATGTTGAAACAGACTTACTGGTACTAGTTCAGGCATACTTTGTTGATATTCTGTTCTTTCAGAGGCAACTGCACCAAACGGTTTGACTAAACATTCTTTTTTCTTGGTTGAATTCATTGAAAAAGTTAATTGTGTTATGAGAACCAACAGTTGCTGATGGCTATGCTTTGAGAAGAGATGTCTATTTTATTCTCTTGCCTCACCTTTAGATAATGGTTGTTCTGAAAATGTTTTTCTTACTTAGTTTCTGTATTCAAATTAAAAATAAATCAAACAGGGGTGCCAACTTAGTACTGCGTTATAGAATATAACCAGAACCTAAGACTATTATATCTGGTCTGTGCACAAGAGATAACTCTAAGAGAAACTTGAAACTCAAGACTCCTAATTGCTCCTAAAAGTTGAACTACTGTTGAAGAAGCTTTATCGTGCAAGGTTGACATATTCCAATGCATCAACAGTTGCTTTTTGAAGTTGTACAAAAAAAATTACAGTCTATGTGTACATTTTCTAGCGTGTCCATTAAAACATTTGAAAGTCCTTTATCTTTTAGATCAGTTACACCTATAAACTGTAGGAAACCTTCCCTTATTTTCTTTGTCGTTATCATAGTAACGAAAATTGCTCCATACCAAAATAATTTGCCTGAAGTAATTTTCACAACAATCTTTTGAACAATTAATTTGTTGCACACATTTATCACTTCATTCTGAATTGTGGGACTTAAGTATCTTGCATTTTTTGAAGAATTTTCTAGATGATGTTTAAATGGTACGTCTCCGCCCATTGCTCTGTATTGAGCTAAAAAGAGCTAAAAATTTCTGCCATTTTCATCAGGATTCTCCAACTGAAAATTTCCAATATTTTTTTCCTGATTTTGGGAATTGCTCTTTTATGATATTCACATTGCTGGTGCTCATTAAACTTGTCTCTTGCCTTTTTCCAGTTTGAAAATTGAATTTTTGAAAGCTTACCCCAAAGGCTGACTACCTACACCACCTAATTCAAACTAAACGCAACACAATATTTGCAAAATGCGCTATCATTTGGAGTAAGCCAACCAGTTCCACCTAAATAGCCACAAATATTGAAACTTTAAATTTCTTTGTCCACTTGCTGGAAATTTAAAAAGTTCATTAGGATGTCAGATGTTTTCTAACAAATACAAAAGTATATTATCTGTTGTAACTCCTTTTATAAAATTGCCAATATCGTTTGCGTAAGAAACAGTAGGTGGTGTTGAATTTATGGAAATTTCTTGATATAATGTACTTTAAGAAGTACAAAATTCATCCCTCCCTCATCCTCTTCCATACCTGTTAACTGATCTAACCTTAATCAACTTTCCCTTCGCCTAATGATTGTTGTTTAAGCACTAAATGATAGCATCTGCCATCTTTATCATTATCAGTAATACTTATCTTTTTAAAGAAATAAGGTAATGAAGTAGTTTTCAGTTTCCATGTTCTATCTGCCATCAGTGAAATGAATTTCAAATGGTTTGAAGTTGAAAAAAACATACATTTTATAAAACCAATATGGGAATAATAAAATCGCTCCTTAATCAATTCATTTGTTTTTAATTTTCTAGACGCTTTCCGTTTGCGCTACATATTAAAAATAAAGAGCTACCCACGTAGCCCACCCCTGCCCTTCAACACTCCTTAAGGTGGCACATACGGCCAGAACGTGGTGTCCTTACTAAATCTGACAAGGTCATAGCTAACATGTTCTTACAAAAGATAATGTGGAATAGTCAGTATATCTAATGAGTAAAGCCTTGAAAAATATTTTTGACAAAAATGAGTACTTCTGGAAATAAAAAAATGACACAAACTGTAGGACTAATCTAAGCCCAAATATCAAATACACAGCTATAATACTTTACATACATTTAAAAAGTATGTATGGCTATAGTTTGAACCACTCTAATATTACTAATCAAAATGGTTTGCCCAGGGTATTGAATAAAAAATAGGCTAAAATTTTGAGTTAACGGCAGAACATGAACACATATATCTAAAAAAGTATAACACTTAGTTAAGACCTGCATATGGGAGTGAGTGTGCAAAATTTCAAGACAATTGAGTAATAATTGTGGAAAATAACTGGAAGACGATTTGCAAACTTGTCGTTTTTCGCAAACTTTTGTATAGAAAAAAATTACACTTTTCTTGCCTGAAAATATTCAATGCCCTCCAGCTAGGAATGGATGGCCTTCTCTTTCAGCTGCTTTTTCATCAGCAACTAGTCTGCTGCGCCTTCTGGCCTGGCGGAGAGCTTTGGAAGCTAAAAGTGTTTGTCTCTGAGCATTTTTAACACGTACAATATCGGCGTTTTTGCAATATGTCCGACATAATTGTCCTGGGTGTATGACCATCATCCTAAGCATGGCCATCAGACTAGTGCAACCATCATTAAAGATGGCTACAGCCACTGCTACAGCAGTCTCCACAGTTTTCATACCATGATTTTTTTTCTTGGGACACTGCTTCCAGATCATATTATTTAGGGACTCGTTCTGGTTTTGAGTATATCCACCGAGACATTTTGTTAGCAGTTCTGTCTTTGCAAGATCTTTCCAGACAAGTCTATTGGTTTCCATGACTGCAGTAAGGAGGTAATGATGAGATGTATGCTTGTATTCTTTGCCTTCTATGATAGCCTTCAAATAAGGACACCAAACAGGGTTACAAAAGTTGTGTACATGTTTCTCACAGATGATACCTTATAGAAAAATACTGCCCAAACAGCTGCCCTCATCTTCACAATATCATTCTTATTTTCTCTGATTGCATTTCCATAATAAGATTGCAATTTATCAATAGAGGCATCAGTTAATCTTCCCATAATAAGATTGTAATTTATCAATAGAGGCATCAGTTAATCTTCCCATAATAAGATTGTAATTTATCAATAGAGGCATCAGTCAGTCTACCCTTCCCACCTAGCCTCTTTCCATCAGGCAACACTTCTTTTGTGTTCTTTTTTAGGTTTCGGAGTCTGGTTCCAACTCTCTTCTGCACGTGACCGACACATTCCAGTTTTTCAATCAACTTCTCACCATAAGGTTTACTGTCACATACATTCTTATATGTGTTAGTATCCCCATCTCCAATAAAACCTGTATATCTAAATTTGTACTGCTCAACTGATCTTCCAAACATATTGCATGTACCACTCGCTTCCATGGATCCGCTAGAACCCTCATGCGTCAATGTGCAGTCTGCACCATGGTTGGCTTCCCATTGTGTATATTTGTCTGTACTATGGTCCTGTTGTTTCCAAAAGTCACATGATTTGCATATTTTACTCTTGTGTATCAAGGACCTTTCCATTGGTCATGCCAATAGCTGTCACTACACCTATTTTGGATGAGTGGCCTAATGTCATCCAAGTCCCATCACACGAAACATTAATATCTCTAACCTCCTCATCTTCTATCTCCTCTGACTGACCATATTCCAGTGCAGCAGCTGACTGCATACTAATCTTTTGTACATATGTACAGGCTGCATGCAAGGTTTTCTTTATGGTTACATAGCTACTCTCAGCCACTGGTTTTGGCAAGTCCATTACACAGCAGAAAATCTCTAGCTCTGCCCTGTCTGCGCCAATGCTTCGCATGGCAAATGCAGTTCGTCGGCTTACTGCATTTACAATAGAGTTGCCTACAGCTATCTGTGGTAATGAGGAGAAAGCAGGCTGACTGTTACAGTTCTTATTGCTACAATTAAATAGCAATGTGCTGGCTACTCCCTTACGTTCTTTTTCAATCAGCCTTACAGTTGATTGGCAATAGCGACAAATCAAATGTGATGAGATCATTGCACTAAGTATTGCTATATCTACAATTCTATTTCCTTCTGGAATTTCTAAATCATCAATATCTAGTACTACACAATCTTCTACTTCTATATTTTTACATTCATTTGTACAATTTAATTTCTCTTCTGTCTCCTCCTCTGCACTAGAGTCAAACATCACTGAATAGACATCTTGTATTTTTTGTTCTGATCTAGATCTAGTAGGTGTGTCAAACTCTTGTTTACATTCAACCTCTACTGAGTCTGCTTCTATGGGAAAGGAATCAGCCAAATCCTTGTGACCTACCTTTACCTTATCATTTTTAACAGATTTATTCCTATTAGCTTCAGTATATTTGTCACAGGCCTTTTCCCTACCTTATATAATACACACACAAAAACCACAAGTCAAGCCTTGTTCCCGTTGTTTTTCATATTTTATTTTGGTTCATACAGGCATTGTGTTCATTATCAGACTACGCCATCTTCTTCCTCGCCTTCTCTCCTCGTTCCTTCCTCTCGCGCATGGGCACAGTCACCCTGTCTCCCTGATCCAATATCGCCTTTCAACACACACACACCCAACATACATTCCATTAACATTTCACTGTTACATATGCCCTTTCTACCCTTTAAAAAATTAATTCATTAATTTTTTCTTATATACATCACATTCACTATAAAATCCTCATTATACATGTAACAGTTAAATGAAAATCATATTGAAAAAGAAACTTGCTAATGAACATCCTAAATTATTTTATATGTACTGTAACGAACACCAATCTATCAGCCAGATAGTTGGCGAACGCTCCCGGGTTCGTTTAAATGATTATACACAGATGGCGACAAGCCTAAATAAAAGAAAGCTAACACAGCAGTTCACTAGGACTCGTACTTGATGTCTAGGGGAAACACTAGAGAAACTACTGATGCCAACAATACATTTAATCTGCATATAACTTTTAATGAGTGTACAAAGTCGTGGCAGAACACTAGATTTATACAGGATAAAATAGATTTACAGAATGAACAAAACCCAACTTACAATTTGTGGGGAAAAATAATATGATACACTATCACAGCTTTTAACACTTCAGAAAAATCACCACAGTTTACACAACGCTGCTATAAGCATAAAGAATTACTTAACCACAAGTAATATAAGAATATGCTGCTTAAACTACTTAGTACTACACGGCGACACACAGGGCTTATTATCTCTCAAAGATGTCTGGTCAAGTAACTGCCTAGATAAAGGTGTGCGCGGTCTATTTATCGACTTGGGCAACATGGAAGGTCACCTTCAAATCATAAGGCTATTGGTTGAGGTATCACCTGGTCCGAATCAACCAATCGTCTCATAATGGAAAAATACTGAGTCTAAGACTTTCTTAAGACAGTGGAAAAAACCAGTGATTACACCACAGACCATATATGGTATAGTAACAAATGTAAAAATAAAATTTACCAGACCTAAGTAGGTCACAGTACACTTACCAAATTAAAACAATGATATACTTAAAATACATGGCAAAATGCAAAGATTCACTTATCTAATAAGTATCGCCATTAAGGAAAATTGTAACTAAGGTAAACCTTATTAGTTTGCATTATTTAAAACATGATCTATCAGGTTAAGTTCAATAATTGCTTCAGGCTTCTTTACATCTATTTCTGCCAATTCTAGCCTTGTATTCATGCATTTGCGAATATCAAAAATGATCTGGTTTATGTCACCAGTGTTGTTAATTCTAGCTTCTCTTATGGTCTTTCTCTAATAGTCTTCTGTCTTTCCAAAATGTTTCATCAATCTTTCTTTTACTAGGTCATAGTCTTCTTTTTCAGCCTCAGTCATACTTGCTATTATGTCAATAGTCTCTCTTGTCAAATTAGTCAATAAAGCCTGTGCCTTCCCAGCAGATGAATAATTAAAACTCCTACATGTCTGTTCAAAGAGTATTAAGTAAGTTTCCACACTTTCTTCCTGTGGTTTAAATGTTCTGAATTTAGGCTTCCAATTGTCCATTTTGTTAACCTTACTGTCTTGAGATTGGTTACTTTTAATTTTTTCTAATTCTAACTCATGCTGTCTCTGTTTTTCTCTATTTTCTAAATGTCTCTGTTTTTCTCTATCTTCTAATTGTCTTTGTTTTTCTTTGTCTTCGGCCTCCTTTTTAACTTTTTCCATCTCAGCCTCCATTTTAACTCTTTCCTTCTCAGCCTCCATTTTAACTTTTTCCTTCTCAGCCTCTACCTTAGCTAGATCTAGTTCCCTATCAGCCTCTATTTTAGCCCTAGCTAATTCCCTCTCCAAAGCTCTGTCCTCCCTTTCAATTGCATCAGCTATCTTCTTTTCTACCCAATTTGCCTTCTCTGCCCCAGTGTATCCTAACGAATCAGCCAACTCAATGTATTTGGCGTAGTCCTCCATCGTAATGATGCAAGAAAAGTTATTCAGTTACAATACTAAATCTAGATTCAGCAATTCATTTAATTTTGGGTCCTCAGTTTCCGGGAATGTATATGATCGGCCATCCTCTTTCTTCACCTCGGCCGTCACATTGACCGACCTAATTGTTACTTCATTACTGCTGGTATTGATCAGTTCGATGCACTGTGCCGACTTTTTTACCTCGATGTTCTGTGGTACTCCTACCAGAGTGTTAGGCGGTACAAAAATTTCCTCATCCAATACATTTGCCACTAACCCTAGGACCAGTCCATTTTCCGCAGATGTGTATGTCCGCAGTAACATGACGCCTGCCCTCAGTGCGGCGCCACATGGTTCTATCATCACATCACCATTCACGCTTCTATCCCCAATTTGTAGTGTGATTGCCTTGACCGTGTTTGCCGGGATTGATGTCCTTCCTCTGGTCTTAGCAAACCTGGCCAACTTGGATCCCCGACCTGGTGTGGGCGATCCGACAACTTTTGTAAGAAATTCTGGCAACTGGCCAAGGATGTTCATGCCCAACAGGCAAGGTATATTTGACACATTTGTCTCTAGGTTGTGTTTCGTAACGAACACCCCAACCTGCTTCAACCTGTATCCCGCCACCACCACATCTGCCAGAAAATAGCCACAGTATGGAATGGTTAATCCATTAGCTGCCGTTAGGCGCATGCATGTGTCAGACCTTAAACTATGGTCTTTTCCTTTTATCCATTTGGTGTAAAATTGTTCCGTAATTGTCGTCACCTGGGAGCCTGTATCAACAATTGCCTTGACCGCGATGTCCCCGATCGTGATCATCATCTCGGGACAGACTCCAATCATTTTGTTCCTTAGGCCATAACCTCGCCCCTCTGTAGCCTGGCCCTGCCTAACAGAGGACGACCGTTTCCCTGACAGTACCGTGCCATATGTCCGGGTTGTGAGCAGGACAGGCAGATTGGTCGACCGTCAGCTGTCCACTGGAGTGATGGATTGGCAGGTCGCGGCTGTCTAACCTGTCTATGTTTTGTCCAGTTTTTGCCCTGATTCTCTGCTGTTGACCTGCTTTCTAACCTCTCCAACCGTTGGTCAACCTTATCCAGGTGAGCCAACAGTTGAGCCATCATGGTTTCCATCGTGCCGGTCCCTGTGGGTGGTGATTGTTTCTGTTCCGGCCCAGAGACTTTGTCTACCGAGCAGTTCGATTCGTCCTCATACTCGGACCTGCGGATCGCTGAGTTCCTGACCTGAAGGAAGGTCAACTGTGGGTCTTTGTACACCTCTTCCTTCAAATCTCTCCTTAAGATAGGGGTTGCTAGCCCTTCGATGAAATGGTCCCTCAGCAGGCGCACATCAATGTCGGGTGTTTTGCCTTTTACAGCGTCAAAGGCCCTGTTCATTCGGTGTGAATATTCCATCACACTCTCCGCCAGTCTCTGCTTTAAGCCTACGAACCCCGATAGCAGTTGCGATCCCGACCGTCTCTCCCCAAAGGTCTCCACAATTAGATCTAGCACCTTATCTGGATCTGTTTGGAGGGCTTTATCGTGGCATTTGACCTCCGCCCTAACCGTCTCCCCTATACTGCTCATCAACAACCTTAATCTTTCCTCTGGTGACATGTATCTCGAGGCCCAGGCAGCTTTGACCTCTTCACTGAACCTGTTGGTTAAGGTTGGATCACCGTCCCCGTAAAATTTGTTGATGTGGGACTCTCTGGGCAGGACCACAATATGGGTCGGCTTTTCGTCCAGATTAGACATTCTAATTTTAATTCTTTGAGTAAAAAAAGACCTTTCCTACCGTTTATGTAAGAATACTTTTCCCTGTTCCTGATTGTCCGAATTCACACACGAAACACAGTTATTAACTAGGTTGACAATGGGTGCCGCTAGCGGTTGGTCTAGTTGAATTCCACTGCCGACAGCGCCAAATGTTACCGAGTCTATTTACTTGTAGTGCCAAATGTTACCGAAGGTATTTACTCGTGCTATCTTTGACCAGCACACAACATCGACCACAATACAGATACTCGGAAGTGCAGGTTTACATTGATCTCTTTATTACATGAATCAATAGAAATGCTCCACATAACAATGCATCAATGTTCCACAAGAATACAATGAACCAACTGACCCCCACTGTCCTCACTAGTCCTCACATATCAGAATGCACGTGTCCATCGTTCCTATTCTCACAAATCACAACACGTCCACACAGTTCAGTCTTCAACTCGGTCCTGCGCCTTCTCCAAAATACGCCGTCTTATTATATCCCCTCGTATTCGTAATCCTTTCCATTCGTTGCATCAGACTATGAACTACGCAGTTCTGTCGTATCGCTTCCCAAACTACGCAATGGCTTTGTGTTCGTTATCAGTCCACACCCCCTGTATCAGTTGCATCAGCCCAGTTTGGCCTTGATCGTGTCTTTAGTTGACAGACTGTATTGTGTTCTTATCGTCTTTAGTAACTACACTAGTTACATAATGAATGTGGATAATTGTTTGCCTGTAGTCGCCTGTGTATGGCATGTAAATTGTCAATGTATACGTTTTGTAGTTCTCTGGTTAGGTTATAAATTGTGTCAATTTCAGTAAGTCTATTTTGTTTACGTCCTCTAAAAATAAGTCTACCACATCTCCCCTTAGGCTAGGTCATCTGTGTCTAAATTAAGGTTACTGTCATTGTGAAGCGTCTTTGCCCATTTGTTGTTTGTTATGTCGTCATACGTCCTTTGTCTCTTTAATGGAATAGGTGTATTGTTGGTAGAGGTATGGTCTGTTTGTTTGTCAGTCTCCAATGTGGGTTGTCCGGTTTGTCTGTCGGTCACTGATGAGGTGTCGGCTGGTGTTGTTTGGTTGTTGTGTGCTACCCTATAGCGTCTCCTTAAATTATCTAGTCTTGTGAATACTTTCCCGCATGCTATACAGTGATGTCTATATATGTCTACCACATCTCTCCTTAGGTCATCTACAGGTATAACATCTGTGTCTAAATTAAGGTTACTGCCATTGTAGAGTCTCCTTAAATTATCTAGTCTTGTAAATACTTTCCCGCAGGCTATACAGGGATGTCTTTGCAAAAGTTGTGAACATGTTTCTCATCAGATGAGCCCTTATAGAAAAATACTGCCCAGACAGCTGCCCTCATCTTCACAATATCATTCTTATTTTCTCTGATTGCATTCCCATAATAAGATTGTAATTTATCAATAGAAGCATCAGTCAGTCTACCCTTCCCACCTAGCCTCTTTCCATCAGGCAACATTTCTTTTGTGTTGTTTTTTAGGTTTCGGAGTCTGGTTCCAACTCTCTTCTGCACGTGACCAACACATTCCAGTTTTTCAATCAACTTCTCACCATAAGGTTTACTGTCACATACTTTCTTATATGTGTTAGTATCCCCATCTCCAACAAAGCCAGTATATCTTGTACTGCTCAACTGATCTTCCAAACATATTGCATGTACCACTTGCTTCAATGGATCCGCTTGAGCCCTCAAGCGTTAATGTGCAGTCTGCACCATGGTTGGCTACCCATTCTGTATATTTTTCTGTATTATGGTCCTATTGTTTCCAATAGTCACATGATTTGCATATTTTTCTCTTTACTTGTGTATCAAGGACCTTTCCATTTGTCATGCCAATTTTGTATGAGTGGCATACTGTCATTCATGTACCATCACAAGAAACATTGATTTCCCAAATCTCCTCACTGTGGTGGGGGGAATTGACTTCTCTTCTTATTCTATTAATTTCCTTCTTACATACGAACATATATTTAATACTGGGACGAGGACGAGAATACTCTTGATTCCGTGCATTAAATAAGACAACTCGAAGATCAGTTTGATTCACAACATTTAATTATTACACATCTGATGCTTGAATATAATAGGCTTAACACAATATATACTTCTTGTCTACACCTACTGTTCAATGTTTCCTACACTATTGTCACTACACTGTTTCCTAACTCTACACTTGTATACGTCCTCTCACTATAAAGTCTCAACCCCGACTGCCTAGCTTCTACTGTCTCCTAACCCTCATCGTCCTCACTTTTTTGTCTTGTCCATCCGGTCTAACCTAATTTGCATGTCGCCACAGTTCTGGAGTACCTGATTAAAATGTCAAACCCTGCTAATAAACTACCCCCATTACGGTCACCCAGGCCAACTAGATACGTGTCTGCTACACCTACCCCCCACAATGATGTCGCCCGTAATTACCATCTAATTCTAACCCATGCTTCGTCGATCGTCTCCGTTACGTACATTGTCTATCCTACACCTGCATCTACGCCATCACACTCACCTTCTATCTCCTTTGACTGCTCATATTCCAATGCAGCAGCTGATTCCACGCTAATCTTTTGTACAGTGGTACAAGCTGCATGCACTGTTTTATTTATAATTATATAGCTACTTTTAGCCACAGGTTTTGGCAAGTCCATTACACCACAGAAAGTCTCTTGCTCTGCCCCATCTGCGTCAATGCTTCACATCGCAAATGCAGTTCATCAGTTTTTTACATTTACAAATGAGTTGCCTACAGCTATCTGTGGTGATGAGGTTAAAGCAGGCTGACTGTTAAAGTTCTTATTGCTACAATTAAATAACAATGTGCTGGATAGTACTTTTCTTTCTTTTCAATCAGCTTTATGGTGGAGTGACAATAGCAACAAACTAAATGCAATGAGATCATACGACTAAGTATTGCTATATCTACAATTCTATTTCCTTCTGGAATTTCTAAATCATTAATATTTACAGTCTTCTACTTCTTCTTTATCAAATTCATTTGTACTACTTAACCCTTTATCTACTGACGGTACTTATAAGTACCACTTTAATTAAGTGCCTGTATTATTTTTAATTTAATACAAATTTTACAAATTATTAATGTAATTAATAGTATAATCTCCCCTGAGTCGCAGGTAGTCGGAGATATCAATGTTTTTTTTTAATTAATGGTGTGGCGCTTGTTCAATGTCTTGCTATATCGGTAGTTCACAATTTTTCTGTACATTTCTCACACACGTTCCTGATTTCCCTTTGTTTTACCTTATTTTTCAAGTTTTCAACCCCAAATATTTTTTATTGGCACCTTCAATAGTCATGCAAACGCGTTTAACTTCTAGCTATACAATTTTAATCAAATTGCCTTTGTATTAGATCGATGTTTACAAGTGGACTTATAAGTACCGTCAGGGCACACGGTCATTTTTTTTAGGATTTTTAGAAAATGGCATATTTGTTAGGTGGAGTAACATAAATATTGTCTTGATAATTAATTATCGAAATGTACTCAAAAAATGATATTTACACATTTATAAGAAGGTTTGCATATGGTTTACCTAAGAAATATTGTAATTACATGTTAATTTCTAGAAGTAAAAAAATAACAAGAATAAAGGTATCAGTTGCAGGCTCGTTTACAAGGTTAAGTATATTTCATTTGTATAACAAAGCCTAGTTATAGTTGTAAGATTAAATTTGTTAATTATATTTACTGCAATAAACTGTCTTGCCTACAACAACTAGCAATTACATAATGTATACCTGTAGACTAGTAATAGTCCATACTTCTGCTTAGTCCATACTTCTGCATATAGTATAGATCTATAAGGTAAATTTTAATCAGTAAACAGAAAAGAGTAATCCACTACGGCTATCCTAAACACATTGAGTTCACTTCTATTTATGAACTTTGCACTGTAGTGTAGACTTGTCATAACACTCTAGTAGGCTACAATTATACTAGTATTACTAATAGTTGTGTGCTGAATGACTAGGCTTTTGTTTGTTTATGCGGCTCATTGTACTAGTTGTTGGAAGCTTCCAGCAAAAGCATATTCATTCCGGCAACCGTTGCTACACCAGAAAGACCACAGACAAGATTGAGGGAGCATGACATGTCAACTACTTTTGCTGTGTTTGAGGTCCAAGATGTGTTCCGATAGGAAAATCCAGTAAAAATCGTACTCAAAATATACTTTTGTGCTGTATTTATGTGTAAAAATTACAAAAAGTGATTGTTATAATGATTGCCATGTTATTAGTTAATAAATAGTATCGTTTGTTCCTGTTTTGTAAAAAAAAATTTTTTGATAAAAAATGTCCTAGATTACTGACGGTACTTATAAGTACCAATATCTGTTTGGGCCATTAAAAATGTATGAAACGAAATTTCCTTCGACATATGCTTTGAATGTGCAAAAAGCAATATAGTAACACATTGTTTAAGTAAAAATCTCATTCAGAACATAATTCCGTAAATAAAGGGTTTATTCATGAAACTTGCGTTTTTTAGGCTTAGAGGGCCAATACTTTCTATCAGAAGGCATAGTTTTGGTACAAAATGTTAGATAACAACAATGCTCACTGTATTTTTCTGAATAGGTGAATAAAAATTGTCACTATTGCAATGAAGATGTGTTCTGGCGAACACATTTTACCATCCTTCATGCACGGAGATGTTGATATCGGGAATCTCTGCTGATATTATTTCGTCAATTTTGTCGGGTGTAATTTTGTTAAACAACCAAACCAAAATATGCGAATGAGGCAAGCCTCTTATCTGCCATTCAATTGAATATATCCAGCAGCGTGTCTCCCCAAAAACATGATGCTTCACGATGAAATCCATCAAAGATTTTAATTTTTGTTTGAAGACATGTGCGATAATGTCATGACGATCCACAGGTGACTGTCCAGGTAAAAGAAGTTCTTTGATTTCATCCCACTTGCGATGGCACGTAAACGTGATGAATAGATCGGGATGGCCGTAGTTGCGAACATAGGTCATCGCATCCTGCGCGTACTCGTGTAAGCGCCTAGTGCTTCCTGTGAATGTAGCTGGCAAAATGACCATTTTCCCAATATTATTGGGATTGGCATCGGTAGTAATTGCGTCACGCAGATGGATGTATTCTTCTGAGCGCAGTTTGGCTTAATTCAGTCGAATAAACAGAAGTCGTTCTCTCTCAATTTTAGCGTACATGTCCACAATGTAGGCCCTACTGATGGAACAGTTGCCGACATTTTAAAATGTGATTCTCTTGATTTTCACGAATCATCAGTCGATAAGCATAGTACTTCATAGCACTAACTTTTTTATTCATCTCCTCATTTGTTTCTGGATTTATCTTTTAGATATTGAAATGATACCCATCTTCTCCTTGCCAAAATATTTTAAAATGTGATGCTCTTGATTTTCACGAATCATCAGTCGATAAGCATAGTACTTCATAGCACTAACTTTTTTATTTATCTCCTCATTTGTTTCTGGATTTATCCTTTTGATATTGAAATGATACCAATCTTCTCCTTGCCAAAATATTTTAAAATGTGATTCTCTTGATTTTCACGAATCATCAGTCGATAAGCATAGTACTTCACAGCACTAACTTTTTTATTCATCTGCTCATTTGTTTCTGGATTTATCTTTTAGATATTGAAATGATACCCATCTTCTCCTTGCCAAAATATTTTAAAATGTGATGCTCTTGATTTTCACGAATCATCAGTCGATAAGCATAGTACTTCATAGCACTAACTTTTTTATTTATCTCCTCATTTGTTTCTGGATTTATCCTTTTGATATTGAAATGATACCCATCTTCTCCTTGCCAAAATATTATGGGGTATTGTAAAGCATCATAAGACCGATGCGTTTCACAGACTCGCTGAACATTACCATTTCTGCAATGAAGAATAATATCACGCGAGTTGAACTCTTCGCCGGCTAAGACAATCGCGACTTCGTTTAAAGTTGGTGCATTATATTGTCTTTCATGCTGGCCGACTGGTGTTTTGTCAGCTCTAATTACAACAGCATATTCATCAGCTGGCACACATTCAAGCGCCGCCCTGAATAGCCGAACCAGTTCGTTGTTTTGATCAAACATAGCTTGTAGAGCAGCTATTATTTCTTGGTTAGTACTGGTATTGAATAGACAACGCTTTTTAACTTGCTCAGCAGGGCTTCCCATGAAGTAAATTTTGAGACATTTGTGATCTGCTTCTGCTAGTGGTAAAAATGATCCGACCCGATGATATATTTGGCCTTGAATTTTTAAGGTTGGCATGTAATTGTCACGAATGATTGCTGATGCTCCGAATGACGTCATCTGGAAAGATGAATTGTACCTACGTATGTATTCCAAGAAATGTTTCGATTGGCTTGTTTCACCTGATACCAAAGTTGATAACGGTTCGGGTTGTAAATGCAGTTCTGGTAATTTCACTTTTCCACTTGCGCAGCACATTCCAGGCGTTTCATTCTTAAATTTCAACACATGGTAAAGTTCGCACACTTTGTCCATTTTTCCGATACCTACACCTCGATGAAGACTGTAATCATAATCAGGATCATAACTGAATGCAGAGAGGTTCAGATCTGCATGTAGTGTCCGTCTGGTTTGAAATTTTATGTTCTCGATTGATTCCCAGTCTTTCTCTCCGTTGATCTCCTGTTTCATTTGAGCCGGCTTGAGCAGTGCGTAATCGATCTGTTTCTTATCTTGATTGACTTTGCTCTTCTGTTTCATTTGATCGGGCTTGAGCAGCACGTAATCGAACTGTTTCTAATCTTGAGTCTCGATGTTCATCTGTTTCTGAAGCTCGCATTGCCCTTCTTTTTCTTGTTTGATCGACCAATAGATTTCCGTTTGGGAGGCATACCTGTAGCAAAATAAATAAATGGAAAAATTCACTATCCATATTAAAATATGAAAATGTGCTGATTAAAATTAATCGTGTAAGTGTATTTAACACCATCCTGTAATGTATGGGGATTTGAAGCATGGTGTACTATGGCATAAAGGACAAATAGACGACAGACACATTAGAGAAATTATTTTCACTTTCTAGATTTACAAACTAAAGAGCTTAAAAATATTTGTGTGGTGAGTTTTTTAAAAACCAGTTAAAACCTGAAAATTATTGCATTCTAGATGGTGTTTTTATTATTAAGGCTCCCCCCCCCCCCCCCCCCCCCCCCCAATGCGATATTAATTTCAACCGCTTATCTCGCTTTCGCCATTTGCATGCATTATAGTTTAGATGTCAGAAGCACCAACAAATACAATTATTTTGGCTCCAATCTCGCGTGAACGCCGCGGTGTATTATGTAGCCTACTTCTTGGTTATATTAAGTTAACTTTTTATAGTATCACCAAATTTTGCGTTGTTGCTTCTACAAAGATTTATTAGTAGGATCCTGTTTCTAAAATTTCACTACATGAATTTTCTCGATTATTTCTACATGTCATCACGTATCTACTAATGGAGTTGGGAGGGGGGTGGGTATTTGCAGGAAGAAAATAGAAATGTCTTTAAGTGTTTCATAACTTGCTTTCATAACTGATACAACTTTGGGGATTCAATTTCATGACTCACTTTTAAAAAAAGACACCCATGTATATATAAAAGAATGACAAAACAAATAACAATAATGGAGATTTAATTGTTTCTCTATCGCGGTTTTAAGGTACACTAAAAAAAAATTGGTGGAAAAATCTTTGTAACTATGACAATGGTGGCCATCTTGAAAAATTAACCCCTTCGTAGGTTTTCCACCATACATAAAATACATAAAATATTTTTTTATATTTTAAGCCTAATAAACAATGAATTCATAATCTTCCATATTTTGAGTAGATTGGTGAGTGACTCGGCAATGATGGAGAGATTTTTACTAAATTTTCTGTAAAACCCCCGCCATTCCTAGAAACCTCCTCAGCTGCTTTGTGTCTATGGGCGGAGGCAACCCAACCTTTGTCCTCCACCTTTGTCCCAACAGGTCTAACACTAACCCCACCTATTGCCCTAGGGTGGCATGACAAAATTCACTCTTCTGTAAATTCACAGTTAGATTAGCCGAGGCTAACTTGGTAAACAATTGATATAACTGGTTAATGTGTTACTGAAAAGTTTTACTATAAATAACAGCATCATCTATGTAAGCATCACAATTATCTATCTCAGTGATTAGTGAGTTGATCATACGTTGGAAAGTACTAGGGGCATTCTTCAAACCAAAGGGCATACGTTTGTATTGATATAGGCCATCTGGAGTGACAAAGGCTGAAATTTCTTTTGCCCTTTGTGTCAGGGATACCTACCAGTATCCAGACAGGAGGTCCATGTTTGTTATGAGCCTCGCCTGTCCAACTTTTGATAGAGTTAATATGAAACAACCATTTTGTATTCTTGCGGCCAGGAGTGTTAATCACATAATTCACTTCACTAACTTTGGAATCTGCCATATATGGACCGAAAAACTTGGCCCTGAGTGGTTGGCCTGGGACAGGAAGAAACGCTACGACCTGGTCGCCAGGTTGGAAGCTACAAGCCTTAGTCTTACTAACTTGTCCTTCATCTCCCTCAGGGCATGGGTTAGGTTCACCCTTGCCAACATCTTCGGTCTCATTGCTGTGTCTGCTGTTGTCTGATTGGGTGATGCTGTACTTGTCTCTGGTGTCGGTCTCTGCTTCTGTCGACTGTACTGGCCATGAATACTTGTGTCATTTCTGTATTGTCATATTTCTTGCTTACTGGGTTGGTCGGATGAGCCGCTATAAATTTCTGGGTAATTTCTGTGGCAATCTTTATGTCCCTAGGTTTCCTTTCTTGTAAGAAGGAGTACAAATCATATTTCTTGCTTACTGGGTTGGTCGGATGAGCCGCTATAAATTTCTGGGTAATTTCTGTGGCAGTCTTTATGTCCCTAGGTTTCCTTTCTTGTAAGAAGGAGTATAAATCATATTTCTTGCTTACTGGGTTGGTCGGATGAGCCGCTATAAATTTCTGGGTAATTTCTGTGTCAATCTTTATGTCCCTAGGTTTCCTTTCTTGTAAGAAGGAGTACAAATCATATTTCTTGCCTACTGGGTTGGTCAGATGAGCCGCTATAAATTTCTGGGTAATTTCTGTCGCAGTCTTTATGTCCCTAGGTTTCCTTTCTTGTAAGGGGTACAAATCATATTTCTTGCTTACTGGGTTGGTCGGATGAGCCGCTATAAATTTTTGGGTAGTTTCTGTGCCAGTCTTTATGTCCCTAGGTTTCCTTTCTTGTAAGGAGTACAAATCGCTGTGCACTGAATTCAATATCTTATCGACCTTGACGCACTGAAATAAATCTTCATATGTTTTGTTTATTGATGCTGCCTCAATCCATTTTTCAAGTGTCAGTTTTAGGTTATTAGTAAATACTTAGCCATCTTCATCTTTTCTAGGTTGTAGTTTGTGGAATTTTTGTCGAAAAATTTCTTCCGTCAGGTGATAAAACTCTAATAAGGTCTGTTTCACTGTTCTGTGGTTTTTGATTTCTTCGTCCGTCTGTGGCAGGCGTCGGGTCCTCTTCCACCAATCAGGGTGAGCAAGTGTTGGCTCATCATGTTGTCGGATATGTATTCAGACTTGTCGATCGTTTCAAACCGTCAAATCAAGGCTTCAATATTGTCTTTATTGTCCTCAAATTTAGACATTTTATATAACATGCTTCTTGACTGATTTGTTGATGGTACAGTATTCTGCTCTGCTGGTGTATTTTGGTAGCTGATTTCCAAACTAAATTCTCTTCGCTAAACTTCAGAACACTAGACTGTTATGAAGTGAGTTTTTTAGCTTTACTCTCTAACTCGAGTTCCTTTAGTTTAACAACTTCAGAGGTAGGATCACTCTGTACAATGCTGTCCAGACACTCCTCTTCTAACAACCCAAGGTTCACTAGCTCTCTTACAATCTCATCACGTTCTACCAGATTTTTAGATGCAGATTTAAAAGAGATATTTAACTTGCGAGCTGGCCACTAATTCTATACGTTTACAATTATCTAACACCTCCAATGTTGTACGCCTTATAAAATTC